CCAGGCTGTCTGTGCTGCCATCGGCAGTGCCCTAGATTCCTGCATACCCTCCTGGCTTAGGAACGGCACTACCACAGAGGGTGGAAGCGATTCTGACATTCCTTAGCCAAGCATCATGTCACCTTGGATCCAGTTCCATCTCCAAGGAGACCCTGCTTTCCTCCAACCTCCCCCACAGAGAAGATTGACATAATGATATACAGTATTATACAGTAATGACATAATACACTTGAAATAATGAATGCTCCAATTCCCGGTGGAATTTTCTGTCCAAAGTCACATTATGTGTTTCATAATCAATACAACAACATTCTGTTTGCAGGCTTTTAACCATGTACAAAATTATGCACCTAATTCTTTCCGGAATTCCGTGAGCAGGATGCATTCCTCCAGGGAGGGAGTGCGCCTTCAATTGCGACATCTCTGGAATTTCCACGTGTAGGTGGGATGCCTGGAATTCTCAGTTTGGTTTGGTCCTATTTCCTCCCCAACTGCCCCATTCAGGATTTTGTGCCATATCAGATCAGCAACTGAGCACCCCTATAATGATGCCTAATCCTTGCATTTGATACAGGGCCTTATCACGTCAAAGCGCTTCACAGAATATACTGTGAAGTGAATTGACTGTGTATTTCGCGGACGAAATGCAGCAGCAAATTGAACAAAACAGTGCCCCACAAACAGTCGTGGATTGAGTAAGCAATTTTTTTTTTTGGTGAAGACATGATGTAGTTGCTGAGTTGTTTCCAAGATACAGATAGATTATGATTAACAACTGTCAAAACTCGGTTTCTTGTCGATCTGTTAGTAGAATTCCAAGAAACATTGCATCACAGTTATTAATCATCAATTGACCAGTTATTAATCATCAATCATCAAAGCGATCTGCCAATCGACTAACGACCGGGTTCCTACTTACTCGCTAGGTAAACAGAGGCGTGAGGAGAAAACTTGTCTAAGGTTTCGCCCCGCCTGGGGTATCGAACCCGGGTCCTCTCACTTTGCGAGGCAAGAACGCTAACCATGGGACTCCATTGCTATTATCAACCCAGCCTCGAATAGGGGCACGGCAACATGGCAGGCAGTTACTTTGATGCATGTCCATCATTTCCCATTCATGACCTCTGCTTCTAAACGCATACCCTTGATCACACTGTCATTTGATAAGGAAGCAATCTCTTTGTTAGATGGTTAGATTCAAAAGGTTTTGTTTGTGATGTGTTCGGAAGCGAATACAGTTGCCTAGGTGATGTTCGACATCAATGGAATATTTTGACTTTTTTTCCTCTGGTGTAGACAAGATAAAAGGCCAGCGAACATATAACATTTAGAAGGACCCAACACCAAAGGCTCGATTCCTTTACTAATTCATGCTTTAGCAATGCTGAAAGCCGCTGGCATATTGCAACCAATGCCAACATTAAAACTCAGTCAGCTTCGTAAAAATTAGATGCCACCGTAGCTCTCTGCTTGAGTTCACACTGATGAAAGTTCAGCAGCTAACGTCTATGCAAAAACTGGTATCAGGGGAGCAATGGGTTCCACAGTCCTGTTCGCCTAATGAAGTTCATTTGAAAATGACTTTATAATTTTATAGCATCAAATACATAACAAGCATTCGTAAAAGCATGCTGGATTTCACAAGTTGCATCCTGGAAATTGAGGCCTGGCTTTACCACCTGTTTTGCAAGGTGCCACCCAGGATTATGCAAGGATTATTATTATTATTTTGTTGCTTGTTTCAACCACCTTTTCCTTTAAGTGCTCGCTCGACAGTGATCTTGAAACCGTGTGGTCGTAAACCTCCTCACCCTGGGCCCAAGCGTAACAGTATTTGTGATTGGGAACTGGACAATTGGGGTAACAATTTGGATTTATATAGCGCTCTTTGCACAGGGTAGCATCCCAGAGCGCTTGACAGAGGTGGAGCAGGAGGCTGAGCCAGGGGGAGGTGACTGTAAACACACAAGGTCTTTAGGATTGACGTGAATATGGGGAACTAGGGGGCAAGGCGGCGGGATTGAGGGAATGTCCCAGAGTTTCAGGACAACCTTTACATTGTGCTTTGTATGCTGTATAAAATGTACTTCCTTTCCCCCCCCTCTGTCTACTTTAAATATTCCTTCCCCCACACCCTCTATCCCCAGCCAATCCACTTGTATCAACGCTACACAACAGCATCTACAGAAGCGAGATGTTCTCTTCTCCGCAGACAATTCTAAATTAGACTAGATGCTTAAAATTAAACTAAACTATAATAATACTTGCATTTGATATAGCCCCTTAACACGTCGTTGAGTCATCTCACAGATTATACTGTTAAGTGAATTGACTGTATATTTGTGGGCGAAATGCAGCAGAAAATAGCGCACAGTAGTGTCCCACAAATGCCGTGGATTGAAGTGACCAATTTTTTTTTGTTGTGTGGGATTATTATCCCCCCGAAAGCAATCTGCCAATCGACCAACAACCGGGTTCCTACTTACTGCGAGGTAAACAGAGGTGCGTGGAGCAGAGGTTGAGAGCTGAAGGAAGCTGAAAGTTAAAAAAAAAACATTTTGGGTGTCAATGTGACTTGCACAGCAGGTCAAACCAAGCCAATTAACATCTAACCTTCAGCACGTCGACACTACATATTTTAGAGAGTATTGTACTGAACCTTTCACTTTCAGGGACTGTTAATTGTTGTTTTAATTAAAAGACATCTGCCTTCATTTGAAGCAGGCATCACTAAAGCTGCACAAGGTCAGATAGGATACAGTGTGCTGATCTGCTGGCGCTGGCTTGGCAGTGCTGGTACAGTAATGGGCGTTTTTCATTTTAAATACAGAAGTTTTTTGTTAAAAAAGTAGCAAATTCTCAACGGCATCTCTCTTAACCACAATCGACCACAACTTTCGCTTACACAGCTCCCTTCACGTGGGGTAGTGTCCCAGAGAGGTTGCCAGTGGCGGAGTCTGACACCGAGTCAGGGGCAGAGGGAGGGGTGGGAGGTGGCCGTAAGCCCGATCAAAAAAGGAAGGTCTTTAGGCGGGATTTGAAAGTGGGGAGGGAAGGAGTAAGACAGAGGGATAGAGGGAGAGTGTTCCAGAGTTTCGGGGCGTAGTGGCTGAAAGCGCGGCTGCCGGTGGAGGGTTTTGGCTGCGTTGGTTGTGGGGTAAGGACGGAGGCGGGCAATGTGACGGAGGTGGAAAAAATGTACCTCCAATGTGGAGGTAACCTCCAAAATGTAGCGCTCCATCAGTACCCCAGAATAAGACGATAATAATCTATGAGGCTACTTCCGTTCAAAAATAGAAACGTGAGTGTGTTTTGATGTGATGTGAATGATATGTGGCCTGGTTAATATGCTGTGATGTTCGCTTAGTGAAACAAGAGCTCCAGATCACTGCGTAAGTGTAAGTCATGCAATCCAGCGGACAAATGCTTCCTTCAGGGGAATCACGGTGAATGATTTTCAATCAAATGGCAAGAGCTTTGTGCACATTAAACACAGCATCTCGCGGTGGTTTTTCAGGCAGCAAATGAGGTTTTCGATGCCATCTGAACCCATCGATGTGCCGTAGCAATTATTAATAAGACTGCATTCGATATAGAATCATAGAATATTACAGCACAGGAGGAGGCCATTCGGCCCATCGTACCTGCGCCAGCTCTTTGGAAGAGCTGTTCAATCAGTCCCACTCCCCCGCTCTTTCTCCCACATATATGTTGAAATGTCTCAAAGTGCTAAAAAAAGTTATTGTGAACTGTAGAGACTTATATGTATGCAAACAAGTCAGTTCAACTGCACCTGCTGTGTTTCTCACTCGCTCCCTCTCAAACACACACACACATACATACATGGCCAATTTTTGGGGGCAAAATTGGACAAAGGAGACATATTGACCTAGACTGATCTATTCAAAATAATAGATAATAATAAATTTGCAGTTGATAAAGCACCTCATCGTTTGGTCGACCTGTCACAAAGTGCTTCACAGAATTTATTGTAAAGTGTAGCGCCTATAAAGGGAAGAAAATATGCACAAAATAATGCCTAACTCAGCCATCAGACCAGGCAGATTGGAGTTCAATTTTCCATCTGAAGAACAGTATCTCCAACAATGCAGCGTTCCTCAGTACCTCATAACACAATAATAATCCTTGCATTTGGTATAGCATCTTTCATGTCGGGAGGACGTCTCAAAGTGCTTCATGGGATTTATTGCAAAGTGTGTGTACTTTATGTGTTTTGTAGGTGAACATATTCAGTATGAATACTAATAATCCTTGCATTTGATATACAGCTTTCTCACGTCTTTGAGGTGTCTCAAAGCAAATCACAGAATAAATGGTAAAGTGGAGTGACTGTGTATTTTGTGGTGCGAAATGTTTTATATATTTTTATATTTTATACATATATATACACACACACACACACATACATGGTGTTTAAACAGCACAGACAGGGAAGAGGAATTTGAACCATGGTTATTAGATTTACTGAAAGCTGTTTTCAAACTGTGTTTAAGTTTGTTTGCCAGAAAAAAAAATCGCTACAGCATTTTAATCGCCCAGGTTCAAAATGTTGGCACCCATCGGGAATTTCGGCATTAAAAATTAATGACAAAACATCTGTTCGAATTCCCCCCCCCCCCCCTCCCGGGAAAAGGAACGAGCAATGTCAAACAATGGAGGCAATCGCAGTTTACGTTTCAAACATAAATCAAACCGAATGAAGTCTACACCAATGAAGAAAGAGGCCTCTTATCATTTCAGGCAGGTGAGTACGAGATGGATGAAACAATGAACTTCGCAGTCAGTAATCCCTCAAGTGACAGTCTATTATACACAGTTCAGCTGACTCAGCCGTGCCGCCTGTCTTAAGGAGTCAACTTGTTTCAAAGACAATTTCCCCAAGGGCGGGCGGGCGGGTCTGGCAGCACGGCAAGAACAGACGCTTCCTTATATAATAATAATAATTATCCTTGCCATTTGATATAGCTCCTTGTCACGTCATTCAAAGGGATTACTACCCCCGGAAATGATCCGCCAATCGACTAACAACTGATTTCCTATTTGCTGCAAGGTGAGCAGAGGCGCGTGGAGTGAGGAGACTTGCCTGAGGTTTCGCCCCGCCCCGGGAATCGAACCCTGGACCTCTCGCTTGTGAGGCGAGCTGGCTAGCCACTAGGTTAAAGGACTGTCTCGTTCCTTAGCTTCTCCGAGGCCTGGGGGTAAAAATATGGAATAAAAGGGAAAGAGACAGAGAGAGAGAGAGAGAAAAAAAAAAGACTTGGGAGAAGAAATCGACGGGGTTTCTTTCAAAACCACGAGCTGCAAAACCACTCTCCCCGTCAAGACTTATCCGGCAACTTGTGAGGTTTCTTTATGTTCCGCTTGAAATTCTCAGAGCTGTGTTCGTCGCTACTTTTCCGCTTGACCTTTTTACACTTTTTCTTGTGAAAAGGCTGCATGTCTGCTGCCCTCGGGTCAGCCTCTGCCACCTCGAAGTGTCGTTGCCCAACTCCATCGAGGCGTTGGCTTTGTTCAGGCCCATTTTTTCTGTGCTTTTTCTGTGGTTTTCCATTCCAGACGGAATCGGAATCGCGCTCCTCGGTCACTGGCTCAACACTGCTGCCATTGGCTAAATTATCCCCTCCCTCCGATTTCCTCTTCTTCTTTTTCTTTTGTTTCTTCCTTGTTTTGCCCTCGGGCTGCCCCGTGCCCGCCTCAAACTCTGCCCTCGGCTGGGCGCTGGGCAGAGCTGAGCTCTGCTTCAGTAAGTCGCTGCTCGAGACTGCCGCTTCCTTCAGTCGCTCCCACTCGCTGTCCGAATCACTGTAATGTCACACACGGCACAATTCAGAGTCAGAGGATCGATACCATAGCAATGCACGTCTCAAAGCGCTTCACAGGTTATATTGTAAAGTGAATTGACCGTGTAGTTTGCGGGCAAAACGCGGGGGCCAATTGCGCACGGCAGCGTCCCCACAAACAGTCGCGGATTGAGTGACCAATTTATCTTTTCTTTGTGCCATATCTGCATACGAGGCGAGACACAAGGTGAACTCGGTGGATCATTCTGAACTCTGGTGGAGGTTAAATTATTGACCTGAACTGAGCCATCTGTGAAAGCTCCTCAGTGAAACTAATCGTTTTATACTCAATGCCTAGCGATGAAATTCCAATAGCTGTGACCTGGTTTGTGATCTCAAGCTCTGTCACTGACCCGAGTGGCTCTGCTATTAATATAGTGTGAAGATTCCTAATTACAATCTGTCCGTATGATGGCTGCAGGAGGTTAGCAATGAGAAAATCACAACCACTCAGCTCTGGTCGTTTACATTAAAAACAGGCCGCCAAAGCCTTTCACAGCGCAACACCAATTAACCGTCAACGTGAAATAATAATCCTTGCGCTTGATATAGCTCCCGATCAAGTCGTCAAGATGTCTCAAAGCGCTTTTTTACTGTAAAGTTTAGTAACTGTACTTATCCACAAAATATACAGTCAATTTACTTTACAGTATATTCTGTGAGGCGCTTTGAGACGTCTCGAAGACGTGATAAGGCACTATATTAAATGCAAGGATTATTAATATTATTATTATTTGCAAGTGAACGTGGCAACTAATTAATGCTCAGCAATGTCCTACCAAACAGCCACAAAGTGAATGACCAAATTTTGGTCAGCGCAGCAAGAGAAACTCCCTTGTTTTCGAGTAGTGCGGTGAGATCTTTAATCTCAAACCTGAACAGGCAGACGGGTTTAATGTTTAATCCAAAGCACAGCACCTCCGACAACGCAGAGCTCCCCCAGTGCTGAACTGGTGCGTCAGCTTCGACAGTGCCAAAGCAAGGCTCGAACCAATATGGAATGAGAAAAAGCCCACTTCTTTCTTCCACAGAGAACTAGTGTTAATCCCATTATAAAAGTCACCTCAAACACCAGCACCTGGGATAGAGAATGGGAAAGGAGGAAGGAAATATATCTCGGTGCTTCCTGAATTCTCAAAGAAATCGAGCAAAATTCCCAGAATATTCATTTGGCCCCCAATATCCAAACCTGGTCTTCTCACCAAACCTAATTCGTCCATCTTCCCCCAATCCAATCAGTAGGATATACATCACCATGTCATGCGCACTATTTCACCCACAAAATATAGTCAATTCACTTTATAGTATATTGTGCGAAGTACTTTGAGATGTCTTGTATACGTGATAAGGCGCTGTATCAAACGCAAGGATTATTATTATGTGTTGGCTCAGGCCTTATTTCGGTGAAATAAAATGCAGCGTCCCAAGCAGAGCCCAGTATAGGCGATCTAACTGCATTTCAGCATTACCGACAGCTTATTACCACAGATCTCTCTTGTGGAAAAGCCTACAGAGGTTTTTCTGGCAAAGGGGAAAAAAAAATCTAGCAGGAAAATCAGCTCAATGCACAGACTGTGAATGCAGTGTATACTGCCACCTATCCATTAGAATCTAACATCACTGCTGTAGTCTACATCAGCCACATTTGTAAAATCATTGTGCTGCATACTTGAAAGTTATTTTGGGTTAAAAATTTAGGGCCCCTAAAATGTTACTCAACAACCATCCAAGTGAGGAGCTGGTGTGGGTATTAAAATGATGAGGCACAGGAAGAGGCCATTTTTCTCATATAGTCTGAAATGAATGGCCAAAAAGACAAAACAAATGTAATCTACAACAGCAACTTATATTTATACATCGTACTTTGATAACCAATAACAAAAGTCCATCATCCCGCTTATTACCTCAATCTGTAGAACTTGGTTTGCTTTAGTGAAAGGTTCTGATAGACTTTCCTGTAAGTTTTGCTGAGGCAGGTTTGGTGTTGCTGGTTAGTTGAGGACAGATGGTGATAGATAATATGTAAAATCCCTAATTTTACTTCTGCAAAGATACATGTATTTACAACAACATGCATTTACATAGCGCCTCTCACACAGGTTGGAGTCCCAGAGTGCATGACAGCTGGTGATCTAAGATCGGTCATTAAAACGAACAGGACTACAAGGTTCCTCTTTTCTGCTTTCTCTGATTCGAGCAGCTTTCACGGTTTCAGTATTTTGCACAAGTGCTTAAAAGCCAAGGGCTCGAGAGAGTAATAATTAGCACTGAGACTAATGGGTGTATCCAAAACACTTCATTATCATTTCATTTCACAACTCTGAAAGGCTTAGCAAATGATTAATGCTTTATACTCTGTAAATATCTTTATGGCCACCTTAATTTGTGGAATAATTGAAAGGTAATTTGCAGCCCACTCAATGCTTGTGGACTTTGTTTGATGTTTAGTGGATTGAGTTGTACAGAGCCTGAGTAACACAGCAAGGTAATAAGTGAGATGAAGGACTCTCATTGGTACGGCTTTCAAATTATCAAAGTGATGTGATAGAATATCTCAGCCACACAACGATCATAGTGCCTCTCCTGCTCTCTAGAATGAGGTGGCATCATGTTAACGGTGCCGTTTCTGCTTCTAGCAATACAGTGGAACTGCCGTGACAACACGCTGGTTGGAAGCCGTAAAATCGGAGGCATCCACCTGGACATGACCTTGGTTTAAAGTTTCAACCGAAGGGTGGCACCTTTAACAATGCAGCGCACTCCAAATATTTCACCCACAAAATATACAGTCAATTCACTTCACAGTATATTCTGTGAAGCGCTTTGAGACGTCTGAACGACGTGATAAGGTGGTATATCAAATGCAAGGATTATTATTATTATTATTAAGAACTACAATACGAGCTCAAAGTCCTGATGTGGGGCTTGAACTCACAACCCTCTGACTCTGAGCTGACAGTGCTACCAACCGAGCCAGGCTGGCACCCAATGAAGAAAACGGGAGTGAAATTTGACTCAAAACCATCTCTGTATGCACTTCGAGATGGTATACTATGTGGCAGGCGCATACAGTGCAGGTGCTACCAGTTTAAGTGAACTTCTTATTTACACTTAATTAAGTGCAGTAATGATATTGGAATTGTTGGTTCCCTTTTGCTATAATCACCAGTCAAAGTTCAGCGTGCAGGGACATCCAATGTGTATTCTGGCTGCACAGAGACCCAATTGAGTAGCAGAACCAAGGCACTGACCGTAACGAAGTCTGCTGCACAGACCTGCTGTTGCAGAGACTGCCTCTTTTAGCTTTTAAATAGCGCGCAGATCAACTTCACAACAGCTGTATGCATCGGTGCATGCTCAAGCATTCAGTTGTTTATTGTCAATCTCAACAGCAAATCGTGCACCATTTGTTACGTAATGGAACGGTGTCTAATATTAGTCCTCCACAAATAGTAGATCCCTGTGTTGCTTAGTGCTACTTTCCTCAGCGACTGGGTAGGGGCAGCTAACTTTTTTTTAATCTGCAAAGAGTAGGAAACATTCCTTGGTAACCTCTGATGGCATATTGTCATTGTGACCTTTGCCTACAAATACACAGTCACTGCAATTTAATATATATTCGTGAAATGCTTTGAGACGTCCTCCCGTTGTGAAAGGCTCTACATACGTCAAATGCAAGGGTTATTATTATTCTATTATTTGGGAAGGGATAAGTCACTTAACAGTGGCAGGCTCCCAAACACCTTAAGTTATTCAAAGAATCATGGAAATTACAGCACAGGAGGTTATTTGGCCTATCGATCGTCCTCGGGTGGTTGCGAGCACTCATTAAATTCAGTTGTTTATAGTCAATCTTAACAACTATAGGGTCTATCATGCATCTTTTGCTACACAATGCAAAATCCAGTATTAGTTCTCAGCACATAATAGACCGCTAATAATAATAATCCTTTCATTTGATACAGTGTCTTAACACATCGTTGAGATGTCTCAAAGCGCTTCACAGAATATACTGTAAGGTGAATTGACTGTGTATTTTGTGAGCGAAACATGGCAGCCAATTGCGCACAGCAGTGTCCCACGAGCAGCCGTGGATTGAGTGACCAAATTTTGAGGGTTTATTGTTACTCACCCCAGAAAGCGATCCGCTAAGAAAAGAAGTGAAAGGAAACTGCAAACTTTCAAGGTCTTGGGTTTGCAAAATGATTTAGCAACGGGGATTCTGAAAGATGAAAAGCCTTGCCTTCGAGCACAAGTCTGTTCACTTACGCTGTAAAAACCTTGAATTACTCCGGTCGGTGCTCAGTGCGGGTGAATTATAATTACAAATGTAATCAGTAAATTCCTACAGGCCACCTCTCGGGGATTCGCCTCAATGGTTTCGGGATTGATGCAGGGCCGTGAGAGAATGCAGATCATCTATTTGCAAAGATTGAATATCACCCCAGTTAGGCAGCTGCTTTAGGTGCAGTTGTCGACGGGAGCTGTCTGATATCGAAGGTTCAGAACTACCAATAAAAATTCATAACGTTACAGTGTTGGATTGGCTATTAACTAGTGGTAACAGCCTCTCTCCGTGACCAGGGCAAATCCTGTTAGGGCGACTATATACAAAAGAGAATTACAGTTTGCGTTTATACTCCCAGTGGAGCCGCAACAGGCTTGAAATCTTGAGGCTTTGTTAATTCCACTGGGCTTTGAAGTTCAAATCAGCTTCAAGGCTCCCGTTTCATTTTGCTTCTGTTTGCCCCTCGGGCACAGAGGTCCACTCTGGCCACAATCTTTATACTCCCTCGAGGATATCTCTTTGAAGCTCAATAGAAGACGACTTGAACCTGCACAGGGGCAGCAGCCAGCATTGCTTTTGTGACACTTAAAAGCTAGGAAGTCCGGAACCCAGCTCAAAACAAGCAAACGAGGTGGGGGCAGAGGGAACAAAAAAACTTTGATGATGGCTCTTATTTCATTCCTCTCCTTTACATTTTCTTTCTTGGACTCCCTTAATTGCAAGGCTGAAAGAGCTGATAGCCTTGGCCTGTGACATTCTCCCTCAATCGCTCCGCCTCACACTATCCTGCCTCAGCTTCAGCTCACGCCCCTCAAGCAAGACCTTCCGCTCTGATCGCTCCTATGGTCATCCCGAGAGGATGAGAGTTGTGATGCCGTGAAGGTCTGCTGTACCGTATATCAGTTTCCATTTTGTGCGCGTTATGAATTTACTGAAGGTTAAGCATCGTCACCAATGCAACACCCAGTGTTGTTCACGGGTTAACGGTAATGGTTACGGTCTCCCCTTCCTCTCCCCTGGCTTGTTGTCAAACTCCACCATTGTGAAGCGCTCTGGGACGCTACCCTGAGTGAAGGGCGCTATGTAAATGTAAGTTGTTGTTGGGTTACCTTGAACTGGGAGGGGGTTTCCACTTCACCAGAGCAGAGTCTTCTGGCTTCTCAAGATCTCCTGGCACAGATGTGGAAAACAACCGAAAGCCTGAAGAATAAATAAAAATATTACATTATATTAAACCCTTACATTTGGCATTTCACCCAAAGGAAATTTGGCTGAAATCATCAAGGAAACTCTGGAACATTCGTCCACTATCCCTTCGCTTTGCCCCGTCCTTCCCCCATTTTCAGGTCGCGCCTAAAGACCTTCCCATTTGTCTGTGCCTACGGTCACCTCCCTCCCTTCCCCAGCTCAGAGTCGTGCTCCGCCACTGTCAAGAGCTCTGGGGCACTATGTAAATGCAAGTTGTAGTTGTTGTACTGCCTTATCATATCGTTCAATGTCTCAAAATGCTTCACGGGATGCACTGTCAAGTGTAGTGACTGTGTATTTATAGGCGTGTGAACGCGGGAGTCTTAGAACCATAGAAATTTAAAGGCCATTCTGGATTAAATGTTAAAGTAAGCATTCATGGTTTTTGTTAACAAATATCAAAGTGCCATGTTGTTATTTGTGAACGGAGCGTCTTAATAATAATAATATCTTCAGGTAAAAGTATGTGTGAATCCAGGAAGTCGAGCATAATAAAGTTACCTGCTTCACCATCATCATCTTTACCACCATCTTCTTCCCGCTGCTGCGAAACATCTCCACCATGTTCTTTTACGGTTATCATACTGAAGAATAAAACGAGTGTTTTTTTAGGAATGTGGAGCAGTTACAGGTTAAGAAGCCCAGCACATGCTGGTAGCTCGGGTGCTTCACATGCCAAAGAGGATCAGATTCTAATAATTCCACAGGTCATGAATTTAACCTCTCTCTTGGGTAGTATTGCTTTACCAGTAACTGCAACTGAAACGCTGGCTGCTTATATCCGGTTACCTCTGCTGAACACAATATCACAAGGACAATCCAGAGGTGGAACACTAAGTCCTTATCTGGAGTGTACAAGGCAACACTTGTGGAAACCCATCACCGCACCAGTATCCAAACCAAACTGACAGTTCCACTCATACGTGCCCCACCAAAATTCTGTGTCTGAGATGGAAATATGCATTCGCTCCCCAGAGATGCAGCATGTTTACCGATTTCTGGAACATATTAGGAGCAGGTTGGCAAGAGTCAGGACTTGGGACCCCAGAGTGTGGGTTAGAATACTGCTGAAGAGATATTGGGAGGATTAGACCAAATGGCTAGTTGGTGCCAAGAGGCAACACAGAGAGGCTTGCTGTAGCAGCTCTCCTCCAGTCTCCCTATTGCAGGAGGATGTTTTCTACCGAGCCATGAAAGAAATCACGAGGACAAAGAAGAACAGATTAAAAAGAAGTTGTTAAAACACACACACATACAAACAGCAATAAAGAGGTAGTAAAAATTTATATAGCAATACCGCAAACAATGATTTATCAAACGTGCTCGGCTGAGTCTACCTTGGTTTATGGAGTACTGGTCTTGACATCTTAACAGTGAAAAACTTTTACGAGGTGGTGGGGGACAAAGAGGAAGAGTTTTCACAGAGAAGTGAAATGGATTTTCTTTTTTTAATATGGTAAGAAAACAGCATCAGCTTTTGGACTTAATACAATTATCCATTTTCTTCTCCTCACATTCTTTGCTCGTTTGTCTTTGTATACTCAGTTCCCCTCCTTAAGCGTATGCCCAGAGATCAAATTTACTTAAGAACATAAGAAATGCTAGACGATAAAAGACCGAGGTCCATCTAGTTCGCCTCCACCTTCCTGGCGGTCGCATGCACATACTGCTCAACCTACCTACGAACTATATCAAATTTAATTGGCTGCACATTTAATAATAATCCTTGCATTTGGTATAGCGCTTTATCACATCTTCGCGACGTCTCAAAGCCCTTCGCAGAATATACTGCAAAGTGAATCGACTGTATATTTTGTGAGCAAAATATACAGTCAATTCAACTGAAAGTTCTTTGCTCGCCTCTCACCAATTTCTACTCGCTCTTCAAATTGGATATCCAGATCTCGCAGGACAAAGGTTAGAGAATGCACCACATGACAATGAGTAAGGTCAGACAGTATAAACATGGTTCCTATCATCTGCTGCAGTAGCTGGTTTCTTTGGTGACGTGCTCCAAGTGAATTTTGTTATGCTCTGGCACCCTCTACTGGCTTCGAAATCAAGAGGATTTTACATTGACATTTTCTACATGTCCAACCGCAACACATAAAACTGGTTCCCAAAGATGGGAGTAGTTTTCAATCCCTGCGATACAAGCTACCCTGAGTGAGGGACGCGTTATATAAATGCAAGTTGTTGTTGTTGTTGTTGGGTACAGTATTCATCTTCAAATAAGCTCACTCAACAGTTAAGGGATTGCTTAGTGAGCACAGTTGTAAAAAGTAATGGTTAGGAACGTAGGAACGAACAGAACCAGAAACCAACAACTTGCATTTACACAGTGCCCTTCACGCGGGGTAGCGTCTTGGAACGCGCTTAACAGTGCGAAGCCTGACGACGAGCCGGGGAGAGGGGGGAGTTGACAGGCAAGGAGGTGGAGGGATTGAGGCAGTGTTCTAGAGTTTCGGGCGAAGAAGCTGATAGCACGGCCATTGATGAGGGGAGTGGAGGGGATGAGGGAATGGAGGGGATGAGGGATGTGCAGAAGGCCAGGGACAGTTGAGCGGGTAGAGGAGTGGGGAGTCGGGTGTAAGCAGGTCAGAGAGGTAGGGAAGGACCTTTATGGTCCATTTATTTAATTTAAAATTTTTAAAAGAGTAATAAAATTCCGACACTACTCTTCCTCGCATCATTCCCTTCAATTGAATTATTTGCCAAATAGCTATCCAATTCCCTTCTGAATTCACTGAGATAATTGGACATCACTTAAGTAGTCTATTCAACATCTCTCTGTAAAATAGTGAAATCTAAACTGGCTTATCACGTTCTCTCTTCTGAGTTTAAACCCGTGTCCCCTTTTTGACCATTTTAAACATACTATTAGGGTTCAGTTTATTTAAGATGTTTAAATAATTTTCACCTACAAAACACACAGGGAGTTTCTGCCGGTTGCCCTGGCCAACAATCCCCCCCAAAAATTGGTCATTCGTTTCATGGCCGTTTGTGGGACACTGCTATGGTGAACTAAAAATAAAACCAGTCATTGCATTTTACAGTATATCCTGTGAAGCGCTTTGAGGCATCCTCCCTACATGAAAGGCACTAAACCAAGTGTAAGGATTATTATTAGAATATTTCTTCCATTTGAAAGGAAGGAAATACTTAAACATGTTGTTAGCAATATTTTGCAAGTACAAATAGTTTAAATTAATTAATGGATTAATGGAGAGACATTTGCATACAGCTTACAAACACAGCTTAAGAATGAGCGCTCTCCATACCTGTCCAACAAAGCACCCAGCTTTTTTGCAACGTGAGACCGGAATTCTGGAGTCGTTTGCAACTCATTCCCATCGTGTTCGTGATCATCTGCTTTTTGCCTGTAAGTGAGGACAAAAGATATTCTAAAATTGACTGTAAGTGAATAGATACTGAGCCATAATGAAATAATTAGTGTTGCCTATAGATACAAGTCTTGCCAAATCCAGGCTTACAATTGAGATCTTTGCTCTTAAACTCTGTGCTCCTCTTGGCAAGACAACGGAACCCCCAAATCATCATTTGGCTCATGCTCTACTTATCTAACATCACTGCTGCTGTCCGCCAATGCCACTCAATTATGCCCTAAATTTCAATGCTTCACTTCTTACAGTGCACATTAAAAAAAATACTGTGTTGCTTACACAACATGTTCTAACATTCACAGTGATGAGAGAAGCTTATATTTCAGTCAGTCAAGGAGTCTAAATCCAAAATAAAACATGAACATGAATGAAGAATCTCCAAGGGGGAAAAAAAATCCTGCATTGTGAACCTTCAGAATGGTTTTATTTGTTAGCGACATGTTAACAACTTTAACACATACCTGAAACTTGGCCGTTTTGATGTTGGTTTATGATTCTCATTTTTCTTGGTCCCTTCTGCAATAACAACAAATGTTCAAGAAACAACCTTTTAATAATCATACAGGGTACAGAATCATACAGAGGAAACAGATTTTTTTCTAAAGTAAATACTTGGACAAAGTATATTTTTATGGAAACTTTTAAGCTCCTCAGTACTGTAATAATGCTTCAAAACACACACAAGTTTCAGTAGCTATACAAAGAAATTAGTCACAACACAAATCTCGATTAAAAGAATAATTTTTTAAACCAGTGTTTAGAATGAAAAGTGGTTGCACACAGTTCACGTTCATTCAACGATGAGAGCCTGGAAGCAGATTAACGTTTGGTTGACTGAAATATAAGCTTCTCTCATCACTGTGAATGATAAGAACATGTTGTGTAAACAACACAGTATTTTTTTTAATGAGTATTTTATTGAGCGACTTTTCTTTTTGGTCAGCCGGGTGTCTGACACATGCAGAAACCCATCACCGTGCTTAACGGCATCCAAACCAAACTGAGAATTCCAGGCACTCTCCTGGATGCATCCCATTTACCTAATTCCGGACGCAGGTTGGATAGAGCCAAGGCTTGGCTACCCAGAGTTGGGGTAACTGCTGGAGTCTAACCAGCTAAAACCGCATGTGCCATCGATATCACTGTCCAGCAAGCTTTCCCACTGCTCGTCCAGCTAGGACCACCCTACCCGTTAGGACCACCCTACCCGTTAGGACCACCCTACCCGTTAGGACCACCCTACCCGTTAGGACCACCCTACCCGTTAGGACCACCCTACCCGTTAGGCTTGCAGGGTGGACAGGAACTGAGCGGGAGGATTCCCTGCCCTCCCAGTGACTGCTCTGCCCTTTCCAATGCCGATGAGCCGGGCCAGGCCGCCATCAGCGGTGAGCGCCCTGGTATCCTGCGGACCCTCCTGTGCTACAGAGACCACCACGGGGGGGGGGGGGGGGGGGGGGCTCGATTCCGACATTCCGTTGCCAAACACGTCACCTTGGAGCCAATTCAACTGCAAGGAAACCCCCCGCTTTATAGTGAGAAGGGTGAGAGGGGATAGTCGGATGGATGGTCACTTGGTGGTGGGGGGATGGTACTGGAGGGGTCGGCGAGGCCAATGGCCGCTGCGGCACAACACGATGAGGCGGTGTGAGAGTGTGAGGGGTTCCAGGCCGCGCTGCTGTGAGGCTGCGGCCTCGGGCCCAGGCGCTCGAGCAGAATCTGACCCGAGGCCGCAGCCTCCACCTACCGCTGTGACCCGGAGCAGTGAAGCGCCCAAAGTCCCAGGCCGCCTCCTTCAGCCTCGACAGCTCCTCGGCGCCGTCAGAGTCGGAATCGCTGGGCGCCGCCATCTTGGCCGCCTTTTCCCCACCTCCTCACTCTCTCGCGCGCGTGCGCAAAAGAGGGCAACGCCACGCCTTGTGGGAGTTGTAGTCGGGCGCGTGACGTCAGGCCGGGGGTGGGGGGGAGAGGGAACGGGACGAAGGTTGCGGAACTACGAAGACCACAATGCCTTTCGAAGGGTGGCGTGGTGGCGGGGAAGGAGGACGGAAAAAAACATCGCGCGTCATACGTCGCACGTCACGTGAGTGCACGCACGGACGGCTCGTCATCACCCGGTCAACGCCCCCCCCCCCCGCCCCGCCCTCCCACTCCATAGCAACCAACACGGGCCCGACTTGCCTTGGCAACAGCAGCATCTCCCCCCCCCCCCCAACCCCACCCCCGACCCCACTCAGGCGTCTGATGAAAGGCCATTGACCTGAAACGTTCCCGCGCTCTCCTCTCTCCGTAGATGCTGCCTGACCTGCTGCGCGTGGCCGGCGTCGGGCGGTGGCGGCTCAGCTGACATGACACGAGGCCACCACCACCACCACCACAACGACGACGACGACGACAGCAACAACAACTTGCATTTGCACAGCGCCCCTCACGTGGGGTAGCGTCCCCCCCGGGAGTGGGGGTGGGGCGGGGGTGGGGGGGGGGGGGGGTAGCTTAACGTCGGGCGAACAGCAGGCGACGGGAGCCGAGAGCTGAAAGGTGGGGTGAGCTGAGTTACCTGCGCGCGAGCGGCTGACGCTTTGCACTTGAGGCAGCGCCTTGTCAGGCGGTCGAGGCGTCCCAAAGTGCTGACTGACCGTCGAGTGGATTGACTGTGGGTATCAACCTTTCTCCCTCGTTCAGCATCCCATCACGGCTCCCTGAAGCGCCATGAGACATTATTCTACGTGAAGGATGCTGTGAGTATATATATATATACACACACACACGCACAAGTTGCTGTTGTTGTGACATTATTTGTCATATTATTTCTCAAAAACAATCGTGTTTTTTTGTTCGTGTGTTAAACCCTAACCAACTTATGTCCTTTTTTTAAATGCAGAACAGTGCCGAAAGAGAAGTTCCGGCACAATGTCTACCAAACTGGCGTCTTTCCTTTACATTATCAAGCCACCTCTTAACCAGGCCGCCCACAAAATACACGGTCGATTCACTTTAGAATATATTTCATGAAGCGCTTTGAGACAGCTCAAAGATGTGACCAGGCACTATATCAAATACAAGGATTATTATTATATTATTATCCAGTGCCCAGCCTCAGCCAACCTTCCCAGTAACCTGCTCCAGGACCCTCTGTGGGAGGAAATACTTAATAATAATATATTATTAATTATCGAGGAAATACTTCCCCAGTGTTTGTTCTCCACTTGCCCTTCATAGCTTTAAACTTATTCCCTTTAGCCTTGCAGCCTTGATGTGTAGGATGAAACAGTTCCATTAAGCCTCTAAGCTACATTTTACTAAATTAGGCAATATACTTAAGGAATCAGAGATAATTCCATTCCACACATGGGCTTTAAGCCTTTGGCTCACTATAGTTTCTCCTGTATGGCTACACACAATAACATTTCTATATGGCTACACACAATAAAATCCGAGCACTAAAATAAGCAAAATCAACAGGCGCAAATAATTATTGCGAATAAAATAATAGTATGCTATATATCACCAGTGATAAAGAAGTGTTTAAAAATATTGTTATCTACGGACCAAAATGGTAAATACAAGGCATGGCAGAATACTTGCCGATAATAATAATAATCCTTGCATTTGATATAGAGTCTTATCAAGTCATTGAGACGTCTCAAAGCACTTCACAGCATATATTGCAAAGTGGATTGACTGTATATTTTGTGGGTGAAATGCAGCAGCTAATTGCGCACAGAAGTGTCCCAAATTATTACGTGGGACCAAATTATTATTTTTTGAAGGGATTATTACCTTGTGTGTGTGTGTGGGGAGGGTGTGGGAGATAGTACTTGCTTCACCCACAAAATATACAATCAATTCACTTTACAATTCTGTGAAGCGCTTTGAGACGTCTCGAAGATGTGAGAAGGAGCTATAACAAATGCAAGGTCCATTATTATTACTCTAGCAAGTTATATCCAGTAGTATAGTACTCGATAGGACTTTGGCTCACAGAGTTGTGGACATGCCCTGGATTACTATAAACCTGCCTTGGACTCTATAAATCCTCTCCCACCCCACCCCACCACACACACAAACACCAACCCCTTAAAAGCTAAAATAGTAACAACAAACGTGTCTGTCACAGGGTAAATTTAGAGAACCAGTGTGTATGTGTCAGAAGAGAGAGAGAGAGAGAGAGACAGACACACACACACTGGAGTTGGGAAGCCAGAATAGATCTGCAAATGGGAAGTTAAAGAAAATGACATTGAACGTATCACGTGAAAACAAGAGGAGGCAAGAATGCCATTTAAAACTAATTCTGCCAGGCTTTACAACCAGCTGTGTGTGTGTGGGGGGGTGATGATGATGATGATGATGATTCACATACCCTGGTGCTGTGTAGATGCTTAATGTGACATTGAGGATGAGTGAGTGTGTGGATCATCCCCTGTGTGTGTGTCTGTGTGTGTTTGTGTTAAAACGAAATGTTCTTTTCTCAGTTTGATTCACAGTGAGGCATGTTTATTACCCTGCTCTCTCTCTCTCTCTATATATATATATGTGTGTGTGTGTGTGTGGGGGGATTGTACTTGTTTTGATTGGGTGAGGGAGGTTGGGGAGTGAATGGGTGAGGAAATAAAAACAAAAAAATTGGCTGCAACGTTATGAAACTCTAAATTTGGAAATCCGGCGTGTGATTGCGGTGATCCTTGAAGAGGGAGGTCTGTAGGTCTGTCTGTCTGTCCACAAAGCACATCATCACATTGGCTTCATTGGTCCAGACCAGACTGCAAGTCATTTGAGCAGAGGCGTAAAAATTGACTGAAGCCAAAAGACAGAGAGAGAGAGAGAAAGAGAAAGAAAGAGACAGACAGAGAGAGAAAGAGACAGACAGACAGAGAGAGAAAGAGAGACAGACAGAAAGCGATAGACAGACAGAGAGAGAGAAAGAAAGAGATAGACAGAGAGAGAAAGAGAGGGAGAGAGAAAGAGAGGGAGAGAGAAAGAGAGAGACAGACAGAGAGAGAGAGAGACAGAAACAGGCAGACAGACAGAAAGAGATAGACAGACAGACAGACAGAGAGAGAAAGAAAGAGACAGACAGAGTGAGAAAGAGACAGAGAGAGAGAGACAGAGAGAAAGAGAGAGACAGAGAGAGAGAGAAAGAAAGAGACAGACAGGGAGAGAAAGAGAAAGAGAGAGAGAGACAGAGAGAAAGAGAGAGACAGAGAGAAAGAGAGAGACAGAGAGAGAGAGAAAGAGATAGACAGACAGAGAGAAGAGAGAAAGAGATAGACAGACAGACAGAGAGAGAGGAAGAGACAGAGAGAGGAGGAGGAGGAGGTTTGTGGAGCAGCTGAGCACACACACACACACACACATACACACACACACGCACACATACGCACATAGACACATTACAGCATCAATGATTCATCATCACCGCTTCATCTTCTTACTACACAACAAAGGTGCGGTGCGGTGCAGAAAAGAGCAGCGAGTACACACATAACCGGTCAGTGCGGTGCGTTGATGCGTTGCTGCTGATTTTGTTTTTTTTTCTCTCTGTAACAGTCTATTTTTTTTTTGGCGTTTGTTCTTTCGTACAATGTTCGTGTGTTTGGTTTTGCAGAGAGGAGAGAAATTGAGAGAGAGAGAGAGAGAGAGAGCTGTTTAATATATATATATATATATTTGTATGTGTTATTATATATAAACGAGTTGTTGCTTTTGCTTTAAAATTTGCAATGTTGAAACCTCGCAGCGATTTACCAACAGAGATCAAAGCTGCACAAGGCGATTCATTCATCTTAACAGCCCGAGATCCGCAATCGCCTTCATTGTACTGAATAATCGTCCAGGGGAAAGCCTGTTTGTTTGGATACTGGGAGAAGGAGATTTAAAGGGAATTCACTGACTGTACAGAGATAGATAGATAGACAGATAGATAAATAGACAGACAGACAGACAGACAGATGCAGAATATATTGCAAAGTGGATTGACTGTGGAGTTCACCCGCAAAATACAGAGTCAATCCACTTTCCAGTATATTCCGCGAAGCGCTTTGAGACGTCTCGACGACGTGGTAAGGCGCTATGTCGCGTACAATAATAAATAATAATAATGATAATAATCATCCTTGCATTTGATATTGCGCCTTATTACGTTGCTGGGTCGTCTCAAAGCGCCAAACAGAATACATTGTAAAGTGAATTGACTGTATATTCTGTGGGTGAACAACCATTATTATTATAATATATATATAGTATATATATATTTCAGACCGAGATGGAATTACCATGACAACTGCTCATGAGTCACCGGACCACAAGCAATCCACGGTGGAGCAGCGGAAGCAGAGACAGACGCTGCACACCCTGGTGGCAGTCCTTGTTCAGGTGACCACAGGTACCACCATCACCAGCCTGAACAAATGGATATTCGCCGTCTGCAACTTCCCTTACCCGCTGCTGCTGTCCGCCCTGCACATGCTGTCGGCCATCATCATCGACTACACCCTGATCCGCGTGGGCTTCATCAACCTCAAGCTCAAGGAGGCCACGGGACTGCCCGCGGCTGCCAAGTTCAAAGTGTTCCTCCTGAGCCTGACCTTCTGCGCCACCATCGCCTTCGGCAACATGGGGTTAAATTACGTCCAGCTCTCCTTCGCCCAGATGATCTCCACCACCACCCCGCTCTTCACCATAGCCATCTCCAAGGTGTTCCTGGGTCAACAGCACCACATCCTGAAGTACACTGCCATGATGCCCATCTGCCTGGGAGCCTCTTTCAGCCTCATGGGCGAGGTGGAGTTCGACCACAAAGGCTGCTTCTATATCTTTGCCGCCACCATGCTGAGAGGCGTGAAGTCCATTCAACAAAGTGAGTTGGGTTAACAGTTTTGGTTTTCTGATTGCTGAGGGGGAGAGGGGTGCAGGGTGGGGGGTTTGGGTTGGGGAAATAGGGGGAAATGACAGTGGAAAAACTTTTGAGTGCTCTGAAACGCTACCCTGCTTGAAAGGGCGCTATATATAATATAATAATCCTTGCATTTGACATAGCGCCTTATCATGCCGTTGAGACATCTCAAAGCGCTTCACAGAATATATTGTGAAGTGGATTGACTGTGTATTTTGTGGGAGAATAAATGCAAGTTGTTGTTCTATGGTTAAATCCTATACATGGAATGGGACTGTCATCTCAAGAGCACCAACCTAAGAGACCAGACTCATTCCACCGCAAGTCTCACTTTTATATTGTCCCATAAAGTTGTGAGGTGGCCGGGGCTGAGTAGGAACTAACAAGGGCTGTGTTTTTAATCCTGGCACATCATAATTATTAGTAGTACTATAGATGTAGACAGGCATATGAAGGAGAGGGGCTGGAAGAAGGTATGAGGATAAGGTGGGAGGTGGGATTGAATTGATCTCCTCGCTCTGTGATCCAGCCTGGACTCGGTGGACCGAATGGCCTCCTTCTGCGCTGTAGATTTCTGTGTTTCTTTAACCCTCAAGAGCAGGTTTACATTGATGTCCCTACAGAGTATGACTTATAGCAGAACTTAACATGGCGGTGGTGGGGGGGGGGTGCGGGTGGGCAATAGTTCAGTAATGGTCTTTGTATTCGATACATGGCCTTTGTAATTTCTCAAAATACTTTACACAGTGAGGGAGGGTACTGTCTATTATGTGTAAGTTAATCAGCATCATCAGTGACTCACAAACATCAATATGATGATTGATGCATTTGTTTTGCATTTGATTTGAGAGGTGGGGGTGGGGGGGAACTTAATTTGAATGAGGAAGGAATATTGGTCAGGTTTGTGCAATGATATTTTTATGCCCATTAGTAGATCCTCTTGGCTGTTTGTGGGACATTGATGTGAGCAAATTGGCTGCCACATTTGCTTGCAAAAACAGTCACTACACTTTACAGTAAATCTTGTGAAGAGCTGTAAGATATCTTTGTGAGGTACAGAACAACAACACAATTACATTTATAGAGCGCCTTTCACGTCGGGAGGACGTCCCAAAATGTGCTGTATCGAAAGAATTATTATTCTAATATTATCTCAAGCGTTTTATGCAAAAGTTGACCCCTCTAACACTGCACCACTCACTGGAGCTCAAGTCCTGATGAGGGAATCAGTCATAGAAACATCTGACTCAGATGCAAGCCAGCATGCTACAAACTGAGCAAAACTGGTCAGGAAAGGCCAGTGAGCCTGTCAATGTCTCTAGAGTTCAGAGGTCATAACAAGTTAATGAAGTGTGGGGAAGGGCAAGCAAAGGCCCCACAGCGGACACCACCGAGGCTGAGACAAGGTGGAGATAAGATAAAACAAAGGAGTCAATAGTGATGAAGTGATTCCATGATTAGTTTATTTTCTTGATGTATTTTGCGATTCACCCAATGTCTCCTCTGCTATTCAGCATCTCCCCCACTTCCCCATTGATTTTCTTTTCCCTTCTACAGTTCCACAAGTTACTTTTCATAAGGCATTTGACTATGTGCAGGGAGGGGCATTATAATTGGGCCTGATCCTGTTCTCATCCAACATTAACACACCACACCTTCCAGCCCGGTTCTCTACCTAGCAGTCAGGAGAGGGGAGTGGCTGCTTTTCTTCTCGCTAACATTGAGGTCAATTTCACTGCCCCTTAATGCTCCCCTGGCTGAGGTCAGCTAGCTCGGCATTGATCGGTGAGCAGCCCTGTGACTTTGTGGCCTGCGTTCCAAGTCAACCAGTCCATTAAGTTCAACCATCAACTAGTTTTATTGTGAATTCAGAACAACCCCCGGCTTTTCTTTTACGATACCCAGCAAGTCACCTTTTATTGTGACTTTTCCAAGATGGCTTCCCATGATGCTTGTCCCTAGTAACAAGGCTCTGATTTATTGTCTGACGAGGTCAGTCAGTGTCGGTGGACTCGGACCCAATAACGAGACTGGAGTGTGTTCTGGAGAGGAAACTAATGAGGGGAATGAAGGGGGGAAATTATCAGTCAACCTCGTTATAACCCAGTCCTCTGGGTTCAGTTTCTCGGAGGCCACGTCAGATTGCGTACAGCAGTGTCCAAACAATGGCTGATTTCCTTTGCCAAATAGTGTTTCCCGCTCATGTGCACGGTGGGCTGGAAGTGATGTTAGCGATGACCTGATAATACAGTAGTGGACCATTTTTATTTTGTGCAGGAAGCTGACCGGTCAGCGCAGGAAGGCTGGGTGCACACTGCGTGGTTCCACAGACGCTCGCTATCCCAGTTTGGGGAGGAGGGGAAGGGGGGTGGGCATTATAACATAGTTCACCTATGGAATCCTGTAACTCAGTGGTTAGAGCACTCGCCTCGCAAGCGAGTGACCTGGGTTCCAGTCCCAGCAGGGCGAAATGTTGGACAAGTTTCCTTACTCCACAAGCCTCTGCTTACCTAGCAGCAAGTAGGAACCCAGTTGTTAGTCAATGGGCTGATCGCTTTTCTGGGGGCAATAATTCCTTCAAAAAAAAATAATAAATCGGTCACTTCATTCCATGACCATTTGTTGGACACTGCTGTACGCAATTGACTGCTGCGTTTCGCCCACAAAAATATATACCAATTCACTTTAAAGTATATTCTGTAAAGCGCTTTGAGATGTCTCAAAGACTGATAAGGCTCTACATCAAATACAAGGATTATTATTAGTAGTATTATTCAGAAAGCATAAGTTCCACAGTGTCTTGTGACAAAACCTGGCTAACTCACCACCAATGGAGGGAATGTTTTGCTTGTTTCCTTCCTTTCAAAACACATTCCGGAACCTGGAGCACACAGCGCAGGTCATTACGGGATAACGACCCTCAGTTACCCACGCCCTTTTCATTTTTGTGAGGGTTGAAGCTTTAACAAGGAGAACTGGGGAATTGTATGGGCCGTGAAGTGATCAGAGCTGAAACTACTTCCATTCGACTATCTTTTGCTCTCACAATTAGCAGGTTTATTAAAAGAAACAGTTTATAATTTGAGAAGCTGCTCAAAATAAATCTAAAAGCATCTCCTGAGGATTAATGTTCACTGGGCGGATACCAGGAAGGAAGTATTTTGAGCTCAACCTATTGGCTGTTTAATTTTGCTCAGTTGAGCAATATCAATGTAACTCTACACCACGTAAGCTCTGTAATAGAAATGTTCAGTCAAACTGAGAGCCTCATAGCATGGAACAAACATTCCTGATCCCTGCAGCAATGTTAAGCCATGTTATTTCTTTTCTTCTTTATTGGATGTTGTTATATTTCTAATTTTAGTGTCATGGAGAGTTAACCATTTTTATGGTTAAATTCAACAACAGTGAAACAACAACTTGCATTTATATAGCGCCCTTCAATTCACGTGGGGTAGCGTCTCGGAGCGCTTAAAAATACATTCTTTATCTCTCTGCGGCTGGACAGAGCAGAACCCCCCAAAAACTGATATAAGGACAATGCACATCTTTGACTTTATTCCCGGTTATTACTGATGCTTTTCAGTAAAAGTCGGAATTCAATAACAATACCTGCATATGCTATAGTACCTTTCACTGTCTGAAAAGTGCTCCACAGAATTTTAATTTTATTGACTGTGTATTTGTTAGGCAAATGTGGTAGTCAATTTGCATGCAGCAATAATGCACGAATAGTGCCATGGGATCTTTAACACCTGCCCGAACAGGCAGATGTGATCTCAGTTTAACATCTCATCTTGAAGGATGGATTTACGTCTAGTTTTTGATTCTGAATGGCCTGTTTAAATCCAGTTATAGTTAAGAGTTGTATTTTATTTTACTACAGAATTATTGCCATTTTCATTTCTATTTACCCTTTTCTGTCTTGTGCTGCTGTCTTTCCACACTTGAGATCATTTTGAAGGGCATAGCAAAGCCATCCATTTTCTTTCACTCTCCGAGCGAGTCTGATTCATTTTACTGCATTGCTTCATTTATAGATTCAGCCTCAGTCTCTCCTCTTGTCAAGTAAAATGTGAATTTATTGGTTCCCAAACTGCAATATTACATGGGACTTTTGCTCAATTCATGTTAAACTAATAATAATCTTTGCATTTGATACAGCAGCATATCACGTCACTGAAACCTTTCAAAACACTTCACAGGCTTTTACTATGAAGTGTAGGGACTGTGCATTTGCAGCTAGGGGAGGTCAGTTTTGCTGAAACTAAGGGAACTGTTTTATTCTTGTCTAATCTGCGTTTGAACATCAATGTGATTCGCCATCTGATAAAAACACCATGCTCCTTTAGCAGATAATCTAGGACTACGGAGCTTGATAACTTTTTGTCTCCAAGTTGCCCTTCAGGCCCATTGAAACACTATGAAATCTTGCTTGTGGTTATGTGTCTGACTCATACCCATGACTGAAACAAGTTTTGTTCTGTTGTGTTACTGCTAATATTTGCAGACGTATCATGGGCAACCCATAAATATCCCTTACATTAGTTACAGACCTGGTAACCGATACAGATTCAAGCAAACCTAACTGTTAGAATTCCTTATGTACAAGCAGGAATACAGCCAGTAAAATGTCCTTTAAAACCAAAAATAATGGATGGTGTTGACAAACTATATGGGTGCTGCTCAGCACTGCTGTATGTGTCAGCCTGGCTCAGTTGGTAGCACTCTTGCTTCTGAGTCAGACGGTTGTGGGTTCAAGCCCCATGTTGGGACTTTGAGCTCATAGTCTAGGCTGACGCTCCAACGCAGTGCTGGGGGTGTGCCCCCTGCATTGTCAGAGGTGTTGCCCTTCAGATGAGATGTTAAGCTGAGGTCCTGGCTGGGCCTGTTCATTTCAAAAAGGAGTTTTTCCTGGCTTCCTGGCCAAACTCCAGACAAAATTGTCTAATTCACTTCACGGCTATTTGTGGATCACTTGTGTGCAAATTGCTGCCACGTTTGCCTACATAATACACTACACTTTACAACAACAAGATTTCATTTATAGAGCGCCTTTCACGTTGGGAGGATGTCCCAAGACGCTGTACAGTTGGGTCAGGACCCGAGCAAAGGGGAAATGGTCAGGGTGAGGGGAGGGAAGGGAGGGAGCGAGGAGGGGGTAGAGAGTTGAGAGGGGAGCTGAAGGCACGGTCGAAGAGAAAGGTCTTGAGACCGGCCTTGAAGGAGGAAAGGGAGGAGGCGGCGAAGGCACTGGGGGATTGAGTTCCAGAGCCTCGGGGCTGAGAGGCTGAAGGCCCGACCACCGATGGTAGGGCGGCGGATGTGGAGCAGACCGGAGCCAGAGGAACGGAGGGTACAGGCAGGTAAGTAGGGTCGGAGAGGTAGGAGGGAACAAGGCCGTGAATGGTTTACAATAAATGCTTTGAGACATCTGGATGATGTGATTAAGCGCTGTATCAAGTGCAAGGAATATAAAGATTATTATTTGTTTTCTCTTTCAATTTTCCCCTTCTTAACCCAGATCACAGAAAGATCATAGCATCCGCACATTTGTGATTGCTGAGATCAACTGTTTCTACTGAATAACACATCTGGACTTTGAACTCAGTCTAGACTGACATTCCAATCCAGTGTTGGGGAAGGGATGCATCGGCAGAGGTGCTGTCCTTTGCAATGTTAAACCGCGTTCCCGTTAATCCCTGTTCAAGTGGACGTTAAAGATCCCATAGTTTTCCGACATTGTTAGAGCTAGCTTCTGAACCAAGACAGAAATTAAGAATTTTGCACAATTTTGGCAATTTTAAGTTTGGAAGCAAAATGGTCTTATAGGTTAAGACGAGCGGAATTTTAGACCTTTAGTGGTTTCTTACCCCAAATACAAAAACACATACTTTTTCAACAAACACCCTTGTTGGTTCTCTCTATGTGGCGGACATGGGCCCTGTAGTGTGATTAAACCCTGAGAAACTGCACTCTTGTTGGCCTATGACTTGTCTTGCATGCTGTTGATGTTTGATATGGTCACTCGATCCACGACTGTGAGACATTGCTGTGCACAATTGGCTGCCGCGTTTCACCCACAGATACATAATCAATCCACTTGACAGTATATTCTGTGAAGTGCCTTGAGCTGTCTCAACGAAGTGATAAGATGCTATATCAAATACAAGGATTATTATTATATTTTCTCACAGACTTTCACGGGGGACTGCAAATCAATTCCATTATTAAATTGTTTTCAAACTGTTTTTCACTTTGGTTTAGTGTTGGACTCCACATAATTATAATAACAATAATACTTGCATTTGATATAGTTGCCTTATTACATTGTTGAGACATCTCAAAGTGCTTCACAGAATATATTTCGCTCACAAAATATACAGTCAATTCACTTTACAGTATATCCTGTGAAGCGCTTTGTGACGACTCGAAGACGTGATAAGGCACAATATCAAATGCAAGTATTATTATTGTTGTAAAGAGGATTGACTGTGTATTTTGTGGGTGAAACAATGTCCTAGACTTAGATTGTTTTACATCTTCTCTCATTTGTCACTAAGCAAATGTGGTGGTCTAAAATGCTTCCTGTATTTTGTCGGCTAATTTTCTGCTGGCTGGCAATGCTTTTCTAATTACCTTCTACCACATTAGCAGCTGTAATGAAATCTAGTGCTGCCTTTACAGTGCACTTACAGAAACAAATATGTGACATGGGGGACGGGGGGATGGACTTACAGTTATTTTACACTGAGCTTTGTGCTACTGACCTGATTGCCTGTGTGATCAGATGTCATATCACACTATACATAGACTATAAGTCTGCACAGTCGCGCACCACAGCTGTACGTTAACTCAAGGTCACTTGCTTTGCTCAGGAGCAGAGGACCGGATGTGGGCTCAGAGCACAAATTGTCTGAATTCAAGGTTGATCAATCAAGTGAAAAGCATAGTGGATTAGAATAAAACAAATCTTGCTAGTTACAGTGTGAGTAAGAGATAAGCATTGATCTACTTAGGGGTGAAAGAGGCAGATCAATACAAGACATTGTTGATTGTTACAGAACTGCAAATTAATGACCTAAGGGCAAAAGTGGTCCTAGCTGGACACTAATCAGTGTTTAGTGCTGGTAAACTGTAAAGCGCCTTTTGAGACGCCTCTACTACATGATAAGTAGTTAGTCGATTGGCGGATCGCTTTTCCGGGGGGTAATAACCCCTTCAAAAAAAAAAAAGAAAAATGAAGTAAATAAATACTAATAATAATTTGGTCACTCAATCCACGACTGCTGTGCGCAATTGGCTGCCGTGTTTCACCCACAAAATATACAATCAATTCACTTTACAGTATATTCTGTGAATCCCTTTGAGATGTCTTGAAAACGTGATAAGGCGCTATATCAAATGGAAGGATTATTATTATTATAAGGTGCTGTTATTATCAAATGCTGTTATTATTGTTGAAGGTCAGTGATTCAACAGAATGCCGGACGATATTTTAGTTAGCTTTGCCTTTTTCAATACATCTATTTCAGAGTTTGAGCTTTGTATTAAATGGCTCCTGACACTCACGATCTTCTTTCTCTGCTACGGCTCTTTGCCTTCCAGGCATTCTCCTGCAGGAAGAAAAGATCAACTCGGTCATCCTGCTCTACATGATGTCCATCCCTAGCTTCTGCATCTTGATTTTAGCTGCGTTGCTGCTGGAGAGTAACGCCATTTGGGAACCTCTTGTCGTGTACGACAACAGACTGTGGTTTTTAATCTTGCTCAGCTGCCTGGGATCAGTACTGTACAATCTAGCCAGCTTCTGCGTCACCACTCTGACCTCCGCCGTCACCCTGCACGTGCTGGGGAACCTGAACCTAGTGGGAAATATCATCGTCTCCCAGATCCTCTTCGGCAGCGAGATAACCGGGCTGAGCTACGCTGGCATTGGCCTTACTCTATCGGGGGTGCTGATGTACCAGAACTCGGACTTGATAGAGGACTACTTAACACCCAAGGGAAAGCTTCGCGGAGAGGACGCCAAGTTTAAAAACTGACTGAAAGTGAGAGAGAGGGGGGGGTGCACAGAAAAAAAAAGATTTTAAAAAAAAGCCTCGCATTTGATATTATAATTCTTATAGGGTCAGAATCGCCAAACTGCAGGCAGAGCGAGGGGAAGGTTTATGATATTAAAGCACAGCACATTGCCTTATTTAAAATAATGCCTTACTTAATATGTTGTCCTATTTAAAATATATGATGAATATATGACCTGAGTTGTATTTATTAAAGAATCATATACAGTACTTCTAGACGGGAATATTAAATAGCAAGGTTTTTACTGTAAAGCTTTATTTTATGTTAGCGCAAGTGGGGGTGTGGTGTCGGGGGGTGATGACTACTTTGCAGTATCGTGACAGCCAGATAAATGTGGATTAGAACTTCCTTTCCCTCTAATCTTTATCGCAGGGTGGTCCAACCGGTGGTAATAATCCCTTCAACAAAAAAATAATAATAATTTGCTTGCTCCATCCACGGCTGTTTGTGGGGATGCTGCTGTGCGCTATTGGCTGCTGCGTTTCGCCCGCAAGATATACAGTCAATTCACTTTACAATATATGTTCTGTGAAGCGCTTCGAGACATCTCGAAGAGGTGATAAGGCGCTATATCAAATGCAAGGATTATTATTATTTCAACACCACCCACCACCCCACCCCCCACTCCCTCTATACGTTTGCTGTTTCCGTTTGTCAAATAGAAATTCATCTGGCCCTCAGCAGCCAAAAGGTTGGACTTCCCTGCTTTAGTGCATTTGCTCCATGACTTGTATTCAGGGTCCCCTTGACTAAGATGATGAGAAGGCGATCTGTGCCCACCCTCTCTCTGCCCATGCTGTTTAGTAACGGAGAATGCTGGCGATGCACAGCGGCAACTGAAAGACAAATAAAGGTTACTGTTCGAGTCTGAAATTTTCCTTCAGCCGAACCTTAAGGAAGGAAATATGAGGTGACTCTCCCAGATCATGGCCTCTGCCAAGGATAATAACAGTATCAATAAAAATGGGATGTGGTTGGAAGGGTGAACACGTGTTCCAGCTAAAATGAGGTGCTCAGTAGGCAAATAAAAGATGTATTCAGTATGCGTGTGGGTGTGTGTGTGTATATATATATATATATAGTCTGTGACAAGTCTGGAAAATGCCATCATTTATTTCCCCCTCCTGTAATCTATTTAATTTCTCCAACCCATGATGAATTTCCCTGTTAAGAAGGTGGGTTAAGTCCATCTTCCAATGCCAAAGACCCTATTCAGTCTGAAACTGCCTTTGCTTGGTTGACCATTTGGTTGCACAAACTGTCTGGGATACAGACAACAAACAGCAGGGCAACGTACAGCAACAACAATAAATTGCATTTGTATAGCGCCTGTCATGAATTTCATGAGTAAGTGAGTTTTGCCCATAAAATACAGTCAATCCACTTTACAGTATATCCTGTGAAGCGCTTTGAGACGTCTCAATGATATGATAAGGCACTATATCAAATGCAAGGATTATTATTATTACTATTATCCACCAACACCCCTGTAGTTGACTCTTTTTAATGAATCTGCTAGTTCCCTCTTGAAGGCCAATGCGGATTTCTGCCTTAACTACTGCTCCCTGCAGAATGTTCCATATTCAAACTATTAGGTATGCAAATATTTTTTGTCCTAACCTCCCCATTTGCTCGTGGGGATATAAGCTTTTAGAAAAAAATATCACGTAGAAAATCTCATCACAAAATTGCAGGGCAGCGTGAGATGAGCCGCAAATCCCACAGGATTGGTTTGCGTGCCTCGCAGGATTGAACTTGATTTGAGAGGATAAACTGTTTAGCCATCAAAACATCTTTATCGACATGGGAAGAAGGCACAAAGCGTTCTCTAATGAATACGAGTGTATTTCTGAAAACGTCTGTTGGTGGAAAAGGAGGCAAAAAAAATGACCTAGATAACAGCGCTGGAGGCTGCACCACTTTGCCAGGTGTACAATGTAATGCCGTCTCCAGCCTAAGCTGCCACGTGTACGGTACACGAAAAGAAGACTTTGCCCTTGTGCACTAAAGGAGAATTGCGAATCAACCTCGATGTACTGTTACACAGGTAACATTGTTTGCCCAAACAACAAGAACAACTTGCATTCATACCGCGCTCCTCACACGGAGCAGAGTCTCGTAGCGCTTAGCGGCGGCGGAGTCTGACCCCGAGCCCATGGGGAGGGAGGAGGTGACTGTAAGCACGGTCGAAGAGGAAGGTCTTCAGTCCTGATCCATAAGAGGGGAAGGAGGGGTTTTTCCAAGAGAGGAAAGACACTTTTTTTTGGGTGTCTGACATGTGGAAAATGTGTTTAAGAGTATACAAACTAGACTTAGGACATGCCACTCACTCCCACGTGGAAATTTCCCTCTGCCTGGAATTGAATGCGCCCTCTCTTCCTAGAAGGACGCATCCTGTTTACCTAATTCCAGAATGTACAAAGCACCAGCTGGCAAGATTGTGACCTCAGAGTGTGGGTTGGAGTAACAACTGGGGTTTAATATTGAGAGCGCTGCCCGGCAAGCTTCCCATTAGGGTTTTGGCTGGCAGGGTTAACAGGATCCGATTGCAAAAGAGTCCCTGGCCGCAAAGATGGTTAAGACACCATCTAGACGCCCGCATAATTTGTCTGGAATTTTTGTTGTGCGTTTCCACATTGGCTCATTGAGTTTATTCACTGTAAGGGAAGAGGCAATGTCGGAGCCGGGCTGATTGCTGAGTTTAGTAACGTTGCCCACGACAGCTATAGGGGTGTAACATTTTCCATAGCGTTAAGAAAGGAGAAGATTAACAAGATCTTCTGGATCTAAAAGGCTACAGAGTGATCCTTGCTGGACAATCTGGTGAACGGACACTCACAAGTCTGGACCGTTTAGCTTTGTGGTTTAACAGCCTGTTAGCATTTACTTACGTTACATGGATAATGACAGCTCGGGCAGCATTTGACAGATGTGGAATAGCACGTCAAAATAGAGAGCAAAAAGAAGTAGAGGGAAGAGGAAAAGGACACTTGAGGAGCAGGGTAAGTGGGAAGAAAATTGGTGCAGAAAGAAAATTGGTGAGTGCTGTAATTTCACATTGAAAGTACTGTCTGGGAAGCTTCCTGCTGCTTATTAAGATTGCCTGTCTTAACCAGTCTGCTTCTTAACACTGCCTGTCTGAGTGTAGACTTGTGAAGTCCTGTAGGTTAGTGGTTAGAGCATTTGCCTCGCAAGTGAGAGGATCTGGGTTCGATTACCGGGCAGGGCGAAACGTTGGGCAAGTTTCCTTACACCACACGCCTCTGCTTATAGCAGTAAGAAGGAATCCAGTTGTTAGTCGATTGGCGGATCACTTTCCCAGGGGTAATAATCCCTTTAAAAACACTAAAAAAAAATGTGGTCATTATTTTTGTTTTCATAAACCTCTTTCACAGGGAAATTCAGAATCATTTGCAAGAGTTCAGAATTTGCATTGTCTTTACTAGTTGTTTTCCTGGCTGGTCAGCTCCAGCAAGTTTGTGGTTGCCCGGGAAACATTATTTAGTTCACGAGTTTCTGTAATATGCAAGGAAGAGACACAGGGAGAAAAGGAGCAGGTTTAGTTTGTATAGTCCTCCAATTGAGCTTTCAGACAGAGCCAACTGTTCAATAATAATTGTAATAATAATCCTTGATTTGATACAGCGCCTTATCACGTCTTCGAGATGTCTCAAAGCGCTTCACACAATATACTGTAAAGTGAATTGACTGTATATCTTGTGGACGGAACGCGGCAGCCAATTGCGCTCAGCAGCGTCCCACAAACAGTCGTTGATTGAGTAACTGAATTATTTTTTATTTATTTTGAAGGAATTATTACCCCTGGAAAAATGATCCGCCAATCAACTGACAACCGGGTTCCTACTTACTGCTAGGTAAACAGAGGCGTGTGAAATAAGGAAACTTGCTCAACGTTTCACCCTGCTGGGAATCAAACCCAGGACCTCTCGCTTATGAGGCGAGTGCTTTGACCACTGAGCTACAGGACTCCACCTGAGTAACGTGTGCAAATTTTGATCCAGTTAAAGTGAACTGGCGAAAAATCAAAACCTCACATCCGTGCAGAAAGCTACCCAACCAGTATCCCCGTGACTGGAGTGAACAGGAAGTTCAGGTGTAGAGATCCTTTATCACAGGCCAAAGTACACCAAAATCGACTCCTCCCACGTCATTGAAAGATGCTTTGAATACCTCAGCACCGTGGCGATAGCTTCCGTGCTCTCCTGTGCTGAGTTGGGGTGAATACTGCATCTGTTCTTGCCTTGAGAATTTCCGTCTTCTTCCAGAGAGAAGCCGAGTTGGTTTTAGTATTAACCTGCCCCCCGTGTGCTTGCTTGCAGTCGGCTTGTTGTTTACACAATGACTGGAAATTATTTGCTCCAAGGCGCGGGTTGACAGAAAGTGACCTGGTCTGTAATGCCTGTCTGACGGTCATGGTAAGCATGGTACACAATCTCCCTTTGCTTAGTATGTAGTGTACAGGAGTGGTTTGGGCTGTGTCAGATACATTTCGTTATGAATGTAATGTGTATTCATTTCTTTAAAGCAAATTGAGTTGGTAACGTCAGTGCCAATGGAACTGCGATTTGGAACAAATCGAAATGTATCGAATAAGGATCAAAGAATAGATTGTTTTTGGTGGGGGGGGGGGGCGTCAGCTGGTCGCCACGCACAGAAACCCCTTCATTGTGCTTAAGAGCGTTCAAACCAACCTGAGAGCCTCACGTACACCTGCCACCTGCCAGCTCTGCATGGAGATTTCCCTATGTCTGGAATGGAACGCGCACTCTCTTCCCCCCCACCTCCGATTCCGAAGTGTAATAGATGCCGGTTGGCAAGAGCCAAGGCTTGGGGACCTCAGAGTGTACGTTGCGGTACTGTTAAGAGTTTAACCAACTGAAACTTGTCCAGCTATGACCACTGTATCTGTTAGGCCTTTGACTTGCAGGGTTAACAGGAGTTGAGTGGAAAGAACCTCTGGCCCCAATGACTGGTCTGATCTGCCAGGCCACGGGGACGAGCCAGAATAGTTGGTGAATCTTCAACAGGCCCCAGGAATCGGACAGTTAAGTCTGTTCCAGAGGATTCACTCGATTCTGATATTCTGTCGCTAGCCACATCCAGGTGAGACCCCGCTTACCTCCTTCCCGAGGAGGAATAAAAATAAAGCAGGATGGTGGCCCTTCAGGGAGAGAGAGAGAGAGAGAGAGAGAGTGCGCATTCCATTCCAACAATCTATCTCAGGAATTTCCATGTGTAGCTGGGATGAATGGAAAGCTCAGCTTGGTTTGGATGCTCTTAAACATTAAGTGATGGGTTTCAACGTGTGTCAGACACCCGGCTGCCCAACCAAAAAAAACTTAGCAATAAATACATTCTGTGTGGCTGAGAATTAAAGACGAGGCATTACTGATTGGAGGACAGGAACTAGTTTAAAGTTGTGATGTTTAGGAACCACTGACCCCTCCCTCCGGTTCTGCTCAGCCCCATGTCTCGATGACCTAGTCAAGATCTGGAGCTCATTGTTCAAGACTAATCTCCTAGCACTCAAAAGGAAAGGTACTTTACTGAATCTACCAAGTACAGCTGAACAGAGACGTGCAAGAATTTGCTCTTATATAGCACTGTCTGTCCCTGTCATAGAAAAATATCTCAAAGTGCTTCACTGAGGCTGAGCAGGGTGGAAATAGGAGAAAAGTGACTAAGCTTTTGGTCACCTTACCCCTCCGTGCCAACTTCCTCACCTCCCCTCCCCACAGTTCGCACTCCCAATCAGCTATGTGAAGCTCTTTGAGATGTCCTCCTGATGTGAAAGGTGCCGTATAAATGTAACTTATTGTTGTTTTTTATTGTTAAAGTGTTGGAGGTCACCCAACTACAACAACAACAAAATTACATTTGTGAAGCGCCTTTCACATCAGAAAGAGGTCCCAAGGTCCAGAACAGTCGGGGATCAGGATCCGAGCGTGAGGGTAGGGGGGGCAGGATTGCGATGAGGGAGGGCAGAGGGGGTAGGAGGGCAGCTGAAGGCACGGTCGAAAAGGAGGGTCTTAAGTCGTGCCTTGAAGGAGGCAAGAGAGGGAGCGAGGGGAAGGGATTGAGGGATGGAGTTCCAAAGGGTGGGAGCGGAGAGGCTGAAAGCCCGGGTGCGATGGTAGGGAGGGTTGGGCGGGAGACATAGAGCAGGCCAGAGAGAGCGGACAGGTTGGTAGGGGAGGTTAGCAGGCCAGAGAAGTAGGAGGGGACAAGGCCATGGAGGGCCTTGAAAGTGAGGATGAGGATTTTGAACTCGAACTAATGAATTTGAGCAGAGCGCACTGCTTAGCGCAAAGTGGTTTGAATACCCTCAAGCACAGTGACAGGTTTCTGTGTGTGGAAAATTCAAATGGGTTCACAAATATTTGTCATCAGGACAAAATAATACTGCTGGAGTAGATGCTCGTAATATCCATTGGGTGAAGGAGAGCCCAATATGTGTCCTGTCTGGTTGTGTCTGACGAATTTCAATGCAGGAAACAGAGTAGTCAGAGACAACAACAACGACTTGTATTTGTACAGCGCCCTTCACGTGGGGTAGGGTCTCGGAGCGCTTAACAGTGGTGGAGCCTGATGCCAAGCTGGGGGGGTAGGGAGGAGGTGACCATAAGCACAGTCAAAGAGGGAGGTCTTTGGGCGTGATCTGAAAAAGGGGGAGGCAAGTCAGAGGGATTGGGGGAGCGAGTTCCAAAGTTTTGGCGTGTACTGGCTGAAAGCACGGCTAATGTTGGTGGAGCGGAGGAGGCCGGAGCCAGCTGAGCGGATGCTGGAACGGAGAGTTAGCATGTAGGAGAGTCAGGGAGGCAACAGGGCGTGTGAAGGGATAATTGAGAGATTTCTCTTTGCATTGCAAGGGCAGCAAGTCCCTGCTTGTGGTAGTTAAGACTAATAATGTGGAAAGAGCACATTGCTAGATTGGCTAATTATAAATAAGTGTTCCCGTTCAGCAAGGACCACCCTGCAACATTCCTTTGGATTTTGCTTCAAACTGAGCTACAAAACAGTTCTGGGCTTGCTCTCTGCCTGGGTGTGGCGTTACTCTCTCTCTCTTCTGGCTGATACTAGGCCTAAAGCAGTGAGAATTATTGCTTTGAGCTGAACGCTTTCTTTCTGCGCTTAACCTTTTGAAAATAAGGCCACCTGTGCAGCCCCTGAACTGGGTTGGGATGCGCATGCCTCTCCCAAAGGTGGGCAGCTTCAGAAGAGAGATTGGAGAGGAATAAAGGATGAAGAGCAAGATTATCTGGGTTGTTAAATCGATTGGAGGATTGCTTTTCCGGGGGGGGGTCAATAATCCCTTTTTAAAAAAGAAAAGTCATCAAAAATCATTTGGTCACTTCAATCCATGACTGTTTGTGGGGACGCTGCTGTGCGCAATTGGCTGCTGCGTTTCGCCCATAAAATACACGATTCCTTCACTTCACAGTACATCCTGTGAAGCGCTTTGAGACGTCTCGAAGACGTGATCAGGCGTTGTATCAAATGCAAGGATTATTACTAATAATTTCTGGGACTGGATGTGGAGTATGTGTTTGGGGTGTCTGTGTATGAGGCACATTACTGAGCTCCTCAAATAGAGGTTTGCTTTACAGTCAAAATGGAATAGAGGTACAGGCCTGCCAGTGTGAGGAGCTCTGAGACATTTTCCTATGTGAAGGGTACTATATAAATCCAAGCTGCTGTTGTTCCTTACTGTATTATTCGATTGTATTGTTGCTTGCAGTTTGCTTATTGCATAAGGGAAACAGATTAATCAGACCTGTTAATTAGCTCGAGTATAAAGACTACGGACTTTGGCAGTGTGAGCTTAGAATAAGCATCCTGTTCAGAAAGGACAACAAGGCCTTGCCTGCCAAGTCTGGTACATTTTACCAACAAGATGAGATTAACCACTTAGAGTTGGGGAAATAGCACAGACCTCAGTGGCAAGATGTAGATTACAGTAAGGAGCATAATAATAATAATCCTTGCATTTGATACAGCGCCTTATCACATCTTCGAGACGTCTCAAAGCACTTCACAGAATATACTGTGAAGTGAATTGGCTGTATATTTTGTGGGCGAAATGCAGCAGCCAATTGCGCACAGAGGTGTCTCACAAACAGTTGTGGATAGAAGTGACCAAATTATTTTTTTTATTGAAGGGATTATTACCCTCGGAACAGTGATCCACCCATCGCCTAACAGCTGGGTTCCTGCTTATTGTTAGACAAGCAGAGGCGTGTGGAGTCAGGAAAGTTGCCTAAGGTTTTGGCCTGCCTGGGAATCGAACCTGGGTCCTATCACTTACAAGGCAAATGCTCTAACTAACACGCTGAAGGACTCCATATTAAGTGCCAGAACATAGCACGAGAACTTTCATTCTATCCTCTATTTTTACTGACTTGAAAACTGTTTCCGTTTTTATTTTGGCTGTGACTGAAGTCATTCTTTCCTCTCGGCAGATCATGGAGGCAAAAATCAGGACTTTGCAAAGATGCCTTGACTGCATTAATAAGGTAAGGCACCAGACTTTTATTGTTTTTCTTGGTTGCAATCATAAAACTCCTGTTAATGTCCTTTCACTCTGCTTACTGAGTATAAGACTTGAATCCTACTATCTTACAGTCACCCTCCTACCCCTGCCCTCCACCCCTCCTAATCCCAATCCCCTGCACAGGTCCAAATCCCTGATTGTCCAGAGCCTTGGGACATCTTGAAAGACACTGGACAAATGCAATTTGTTGTTGTTGTTGAGTGAAGTTGGATGAGAAAGGAATTTTGCTGAGCAAACCACAGAGATCAAAGTAACCCATTGGGTTCGTTTTGTTAGGCAAAGGCCCCTCTTTAAATATTTAGTCCTATTTCCTCACCTTTTCTCCATATTTCCCTATTTCCTCACCTTTTCTCCATATCCTTTAATATTGTTACTTCCCAAGTATCTATCTGGTGAAAGCATTCAACTCTTTGTTTGCTCTCTTTAATGATGACACATAGGGTTCCCTTCATATGATCTAATACAGATTCCTCCGTCCTCTGATATCCTGATGAATATCTTGTTCAATCTCGGGACAAAATCATGGGATTTCCTCTGGTGGGGCAATCCAGAACAAAGGGGCATAATCTTAAAATTAGAGCTAAGCCATTTAGGAGTGAAATGGAGAAGCATTTTTTCACACAATGGGAAATGGAAATCTGGAACTCTCTCCCACAAAAGGCTGTAGATGCTGAATCCATTCAAATTTTCAAGACTAAGGTGGATAGACATTTGTTAGGTCAGGATATCAAGAGTTACGGGGCAAAGGCAGGTAATTGGAATTGAGGTACAGATCAGTCATGATGTAAGAGAATGGCGGAACAGGCTCGATGGGCTGAATGGCCTACTTCTTTTCCAATGTTCGTAGATGAATGGTCTTCGGTCATTAATCAGATGGACGGATTAGGTAGGTTGTTAGCACATCAACTTGTTGAGCTCTTGCCTGAAGATTAACGATGAAGTCAAGTCAGACATTATCCATGATACAAGTGTTTGTCCTGTCTTAGTGACAGTTTGGGGCAATTTTAGCAGTACATCTCCCTGAGGGATATGACACCACTATAAACCACAATGGGGTCATGTAAAACATTGCACTGGAAGTCAAATGTCCCATGTAATTGTGACTATTTCCTATCCAATCTCAATTTCAATATAACTTTGTTGACATTGCATTGTGTGAAATTTGCTGCCATGTTTTGCCCACAAAATATAGTCAATTCACTTTATAGTATATTCCTTGAAGCGCTTTGAAACATCTCAATGACATGATAAGGGGCTATATCAAGGATTATTATTATAGGTAAATGACTGAATGCAACAACAACATTACATTTGTATAGCGCCTTTCACGTTGGGAGAACGTCCCAAGGCCCTGGAGAGTCAGTATTTTGGATCCGAGCTGGGGATCGAGATCAGGGAGGCTGGAGGGCAGGGAGGGGCAAGGAGGGTGATCAAAGGCACAGTCAAAGTGGAGGGTCTTGAAGGAGGCAAGGGTAAGTTGAGACGGAGGGACTGCGGGATGGAGTTCCAAAGGGTGGGGGCCGAGTGTCTAAAGACAGGGATGGGCGAGGTGGGGGAAGTGAAACAGGCTGGAGTCCACTGAACGGAGGGAGTGGGCAGGTTGGTAGGGGGTTAGGGGGTCAGAGAGGTAGGGGGGAGCGAGTCCATGGAAGACTTTGAAGGTGAGGACCAGGATCTTGAACTGTATCCTCTGAGTGATGGGAAGCCAGTGGAGTTGGGTGAGGATGGGGATGATAGGGTCACGGAGCCTGGTGTGTGAGACGGTTCTATCACCGCAGGATGATATAGGAATGGTTCACAATCCGATATTGACCAATCTTTCTCATTTTGCATAAATAACAATTGCTTGATGATGTTTTGCTAGGATTCACTATGGACTCAGCTAATTCAGTGAGTTACAGGACTGCACTCATGTCCTCTGTGATCTTTTCTAGGTCATTAGAAATGCAAATGATATCTTGTGTGACATTAGCCAGCCATCCGTATGCAGTGAAGTGTTGCTATCGTCCCAGGGAACCGCCTATATCTCAGGTGGGTACTCACTTCTGTCCTATAGTGTAGTGTTTAGAGAACTCATCATGCAAGCGAGAGGACCCGGGTTCGATTCCTGGGGAGGGCGCAACCTTAAGCAAATTTCCTTACTCCATGCCCTCTGTTTACCCAACAGTAAGTAGGAATTCAATTGGTAGTCCATTGCCGGATAGCTTTTTCAGCGGTAATAATCCCTTTTTTTAAAAAATAATAGTAATTTAGTTGCTCAATCCACGACTGTTTGTGGGAGACACTGCCTTGCGCAATTGGCTGCCGCAAGGATTATTATTGTTGGCTGATGCAAGGATTATTATTATAATTATTATTATAAGTATCGCACAAAATGCATTATGAAACGGCACTCATTTGACCCATTACTTGTACAGTTACTTACTGAACCTTGGTGGGTGTAGACAGTACGCTGCCCAGATTTGCCTCAGTAAAAGGTTCGACTCACAGCTCCAGCCCCAGGCTCTCCTGTTTACCGTCCTCCCCTGTTTCTCTTCCTGTTTCTAAGAATAAGGAAGCATTTGAACCGGTGTTCATCTCCCTCCTTTTTACATCAACAAAACCACCGATGCCCCATGGCAACCTAATAAGCCAACATAAATCAGCATTCAGAGCAGCACAAAGATCTGAGGAAAGCATTGAGCGGAGAATAGGATCTGATTCAAAAAAGGCTTCTATTAATATACATGATTAAAAAGGTCAGTGGAAACTGAAGAGAAGTTTTGATGTTGCAATCTCCCTTTTGTTTTCCCTTCCGTTTCTGGAGTGAAGTCATTTTCACAGAATCTTACAGAGCAGAAGGAGGCTATTCGGCCACTTGTGCTCTTTGAAAGAGCTATCCAATTAGTTCCCCCACGCCCATCCACTCTTTCCCCATAGCCTTGCAAATTTTTCCTTTGCAATTCCCTTTTGAAAGTTATTATCGAATCTGCTTCCACCACTCTTTCGGGCAGTGCATTCCAGATCGTAACAACTTGCTACTTAAAATAATTTCTCCTCATTTTCCCTTCTGGTTCTTTTACCCCCGCCAATCGACTAACAACCGGGTTCCTACTTACTGCGAGGTAAACAGAGGCTTGCGGAGTAAGGAAACTTGGCTAACATTTTCCCCTGCCCAGGAATCGAACCCAAGTCTTCTCGCTTGCGAGGCGAGTGCTCTAACCACTGAGCTGCAGGACTCCGTGACCAGACCGAATCGTTGTGTTTATCTATATTTATCTTGTAACCTTACAGGTGTTACTGAAGTGTACAGAGTAGCAAAGAGAGTGGAAGGTGGAATTAAAGCCCGAGGTATAAGCGACGAGATGCTCCAGCAAAGCCTGAGGGACATTGAAATAGCTTGGAACAATCTGCAGGCTTTCCTATCATTCAGCCCCCCTGTGTTACGGATGTTGGTATGTGTTGCTGTCATGTTTATGGGCTCGCTTTATTTGCTGCATTTTGACTGCTTAGAGATTTTTCTGCAGTTTACTGTAATAATAATAATATTGGGTTTAGGAACACGTACTACCCTCACCTAACAATAATCTATCCACCTCTGTCTTGAAAATTTGATATAGTTTCATATAGTGCCTTGCAAATTGACGGCTCAAAGCTTTTCAGGCTTAACAGGAGCTGACCCTTTTCAACTGGACTTTGCCTACAAAGTAAACAGCCACCAGACTTTACCAGAGTAAATCCTGTGAAGGACTTTCTGGCATTCTCCCGATGTGAACGGCATGATGCCAAATGCAACGATTATTGTTGTTTAAAAGGTTAAGTAACCGTGCAAGCCTGCCACCTCGTGGCAACCGAAAGGACATAATAACAGCACCACATAAAAAAGGCAATGCTATTTTCATAGCGTGTCAAAGTGCCCAGAATTTGATCGAATTTAAGCTTCACTTCCAAGCTGCTTTTCTCTAGTTTTTCTGTAGTTTTGTGGAATCCTGTAGCGTATTGGTTAGAACAATCGCCTTGCAAGAGAGAGGGCTTGGGTTTGATTCCCGGGCAGGGCGAAATGTGAGGCAAGTTTCCTTACTCCACACACCTCTGCTTACCGAGCAGTAAGTAGGAATCCAGTTGTTAGTCGATGGGCGGAACACTTTTGCGGGGGTAATAATCCCTTAAAATTTTATCCCCCAAATAATAATAAAGTAGATTGACTGCATTTTGTGAGTGAAACACGGCAGGCAATTGCACACAGCAGTGTCCCACAAACAATCAAGGAATTGAGTGATTGTTACCTCTGGAAAAGCGATCTGCCAATCGACTAAACAACTGGGTTCCTACTCACTGCTACGTAAACCGAGGCTTGGGGAGTAAAGGAACTTGCCTTAGGGCCCTGCCCTAGATATACTATGTGTGTGTATATAATATATATGTGAAGCGCTTTGAGACGTCTCAATGATGTGATAAGGCGCTACATCAAATGCAATGATCATCATTATTATTATGTAATACAATATAGTCCAGAATGTATCGTGTGTGTGGCTGAAATTTGCACATGTAATGGCTGTCTGGCTAATAGGATTTTTAATGTTCTGCAGCCTTCTGAATCTACCTTTGACTGTTCGGGCGAGACTGCAATGGCTGGGTCAGAAAATGCTCAGGCTGAATCTTGCGGAGTGTGTCTGCTTAGTATACTGCCTGGATTTAATGTAAGTACAAATTGTTTGTGATAATCTTTGCTGATAGATTGCGCCTTGCGGTACCTTCATTGAGAGTGACACATTTTATTGGAAGTGATATCTGCTTCGGGAAGAACCTGTGAAGACACTTTCAACACCAAATACAGCAGATAACCTCTCCTATCTTTCCTTCAAACCAGTGGTCGTGAAGGTCCAATTTGGGGGCTTTTGACGGTAAATGTTCTGTACATAGCTTTCTGTATGCTATGGATATAACCTTTCTGTGGCTGTGGGAGGGGGGNAGAGGTGAGTGCAGGCACGGTCTAAGAGGAAGGTCTCCAGGCATGACATGAAGATGGGGAAGCAGGAGGCAATGCGGAGGGATTGAGGTAGAGTGTTTCAGGGCGTAATGGCTTAAAGCGCAGCCGCTGGTGGTGGAACGGAGGGCATGAGGGACAAGCAGGAGGCTGGAGCCAGTCAAGCGGAGGCAACGGGTAGTGGGTTGGGGATTGAGCAGGTCGGAGAGGTAGGGAGGTGTCAGGGCATGAAAGGATTTGAAGACGAGTGGTGAGAAGATGCTTTTTTTTTAGGTCACCTCCTACCCCTTCCCCTCGCCTCCCTGCCCTCCACCTCTCCTGATCCCAAATCCCTTATGATCTGCCCTTTCCTTCGCTTCCTTCAAGGTCCACCTCAAGACCTTCCTCTTTGACCGCATCTATCTTCCTCCCCTCCCCTACGCCCTCCCCTGCACCAACCGTCCCACACCCAGCTCGGGTCCAAATCCCTGACCTGTCAATCGCCTTGGGACACCCTCCTGATGTGAATGGCGCTATACAAACGTAATTTGTTGTTGTTCGTGTTCTTCTTCTTCTGTTCCTTCGCAACGGAGGAAACCCCCACCCCCTCAGGACAGGAAAGAACATTATATTCTCATTATTTAATGGTCCCGCTTTTAATTCAGTGTTTTGATCAGCAGAATAGCCTGCCATGGCAACATCCAGTCAAGGAAGTCTTTGTTCTACACATTTTAGCACTGGGCTTGCGTAACCAACACAATCAGAGGCACATGTTCACATCCACTTAGGCAGGACCACAACAAGCTCTGACTTAAGACTTGCAATTTTCATTCAACGCCATTTTGATTGAAACGCAGAAGTTAAAATGTTGTTTTACTCGCGCCCCCCCACCCCCCTCCCAACCCCAGCCCCACTGCTCTCTGGAACTCCATCCCGGTGTCCCTCTGCCCCATCCCCCTCCCTCACCTCTTTCAAGGTCCACCTGAAGTCCTTCCTCTTTGCTCATTTCCCCCCCCCACCCCCACCCCACACCTCCCCACCCACCACCCACCTACCCTCTCGACTGCCACCCTCAGCTCGGGCGGCAGGCCAGGACTGTCCAGCACCTTGGGACGTCCTCCCAACATTTTGCCCACAAATTACGCCAGTCAATTCACTTTACAGTCTATTTGGTGACGCGTTTTGAGATGGCTCAAAGTGGTGATAAGGCGCTATATCAAATGCAAGGATTATTATTATTATTCCTAAAATGCTGCACCACCTGTATATAAAAAAAATAAAAAAAATAATTCTGCTTACTTCTTTAGCAGATGTATCCAATGTTCTCATTTCTCCCTCCCTTTGCAGGGCCTGAAACATGCAGAGAATTTGCTGACTTATCAAGGTGGTCACTTCCATGCAAGTTGTGCAAACCTTTGGCTCAACTGTGTGGATTCTAATCTACCTGCTCTTACCGTATCTCCGCAAACGTCCGTGGACTCTAAACCACCAGCTGTTACTGAACCAAATGGAACTGCTGCGGACTCTAACCTATTGCCTTTCACTGTTCCTCCGCAAAACCGCACAGACCCCAATTTCAAGAGTCTCCCTATAGCTACGTCTCCTTGATATTACACGGCGTCGAAACCCAGAGAGAAAGCTATTGCACCAAATCCTCTTTGGCAGCTCGCACTGCTGTGCACTTCCAGGGAAAATATATTTTACGATGGGAGTGAAGGCGGCCACTGTTTACAAGCGAAGACTTTTATTTTTTTTTAAAAAAAAACGCCCCTTGGATGGCATTTATTTTGCAAGGGGTTCAAATCTGCTGAGGCAAACGAAAATTGAGTTGTTCTCTATTTGTGGTTATTGTTGGCCAGGCAATAGTCTAAATAATGACTGAACACATCTGTATATAAGTGACCTAGTGTCTATTGTCCTGTAGGGTAGTGGTTAAAGCACTCACCTCGCAACCGAGTAGATTTGATTCCCGGGCAGGGCAATACCTTAGGCAAGTTTCCTTACTCCGCAAGCCTCTGTTTACCTAGCAGTAGGAACCTGGTTATTTGTCGATTGGCGCTTTTCCAGGGGTAATAATCCCTTCAAAAAGATAAATAAACAATAACAATGATCATGCTTTCAAGATGTCTCAAAGCGCTTTACAGAATATACTGTAAATTGAATATACCCGTGGGCAGAATGAGGCAGTCAGTTGCGCACAGCAGTGTCCCACAAACAGTCATGGATTGAGTGACCAAATTTGTATTACTTTAGAAACAATTGAAGGGCTTATTACCCCGGAAAGCGATCCGCCAATCGACTAACAACCAAGTTCCTACTTACTGCGAGGCAAACAGAGGCGTGTGGAGTAAGGAAACTTGCCTAAAGTTTCGGCCCGCTCAGGAATCGAACCGGGTCCTCTCGTTTGCGAGGCGAGAGCTCTAACCACTACGCTACAGCATCTTTCCAGGGAGGGAGAGAGAGAGAGAGAGAGCACATTCCGTTCCAATAAATATCTCTGGAATTTCCATGTGTAGGAGAGATGCATGGAACTCTCAGGCACGGTTACCGCCCACGTCTATACAAAGGCAACCCCACCAACATCAATACAACGCACGGGAAGTGATGTTAAACGTACCGACTGCACCATATTCTGGTCATCGTGGGACGCTGCTGTGCGCAATTGGCTGCCGTGTGTCACCCACAAAATATACAGTCAATTCACTTTACAGTATATTCTGTGAAGCGCTTTGAGACAACAACCAAAATCACATTTGTGTAGCGCCTTTTCACGACCTCTTGAAGACGTGATAAGGCGTTATATCAAATGCAAGGATCATTATTATTATTATCCCAGGTCTTTACGGCAATGCAGAGCAACAAGATTTTTTTTTTAAAATGAGTGTGGTTAGGCCCCATAGGCCGAATTAGCCCGAAATGTTCCAGTTAGGGAAAGAGGGCTGTCCTCCAGAACAAGCCTCCATCACCGGCCTCCCCCCCCCGCCCCAACTCTTGTAGTCCCCAAATTGTCAAAGGGACATGTCTTCACGATCCCACCCGAGCAAGTCAGATCACCGGATCGCCTCTCTAGCAGGGCAAGCCCGGCCTGAGTCTAGTAACCAAGTCCTCAAGGCCTACTCTGCGTTCCAGTCTCGAGACCCTCCTCTTCGACCATGCCATCGGTCAGCTTCTTTCCCCCACCCTGCCCTCCACCCTCCCCAATCTTGACCTCCAGCTCGGGTCCAAAGCACTGATTATCCAGCGCTTTGGGACGTCCTCCCGATGTGAAAGGCGCTATACAAATGTAATTTTGTTGTTGTCTCTCTTCTTCCTCTTAATGAGATAAGATCAAACTGCTCAGATCAGAAGTACTGCAACACTAATCCCAACCAACGGAGGGTTGAAAGCATATCCACTGTCAGGAGCTCAATACCTTTGCATAATGCCCGTTTGTGGGTGAGATGTTTTTAGTTTGACTATTGCGGACTTTTGCATCATTGAACTGTCGCAGTTTAGCACTGTTACAGGGGTGCACATCAGAATCAAAACCCTTGCATTTGATATAGGGCCTTATCGCAGCGGAAGGGCACCTCAACGCACTTCACAGAAAATATTGTACTGTTGAGTATTTGTGGGCAAAACGCGGCAGCTAATTTGCGCACAGAGGCGTCCCACAGGCGTCCATGGAGTGATTGACCAATTTTTATTTGGGGGATTGTTTAGCCAGGGGATCGGAAGAAAGAAGGTAGGAGATGGGCCTGGAAGGAGGCATTTATCTAGAGCTCTTCACATCGGAGTAGGGACTCGGAGTGCTCAACAATGACTCCAAACCAGAGAGAAAGGGGAGGTGACTGTATATAACCTCTTTACTCCCCAAAATTAAACTGTGAAGGTTCCTTCGCTCACCTCCTTGATTAGATTTGCTATGCAGAGTGCCGTCAGGGGAGTCTGCTCCTCCATCTTCATCCCCACCACATCGCCTGTTGCCATGGTCGGCCCAAGTTTCCAGGCCCGCACCAACAACGGGAAATTCCACTGGGAATATGGGAGCGGAAGAAAATGACTTTACCAAATACAACCCTCGGAAGCCACTGAAATCTGTAAATAACAATCCTATAATCCTTGCATTGAGTATGGCACCTTATCACTTGATTGAGACATCTTGAAGCACTACCAAAGGATTTTACTGTGAAGATAATTGCTGTACTTTTGTAGGCGAACGGAACAACCAGTTTGCACACAGCAGTGTCCCTCCCACAAACAGCCGTGACGTGACTGCCCAATTTATTGGGAATTGTTGCCGTGGGCTCTTTTGACATGAAAGTAAAGCCATTTCCCCAATCATAAAATTAAAGCTTGGACTTTGATTGTTTCCAAATCATTTCCTTTTAGAGTAGCTGTTGTAGATTTCAAGCATTTCCAGATTTTTCTTTTCTCTTCGAGATACAACCCCCTTTAAAAGAAAATCATATATTTCGCCCATAAAATGCACAGTCAATCACTTTACAGCATATTCTGTGAAGCGCTTTGGGATGTCCCAATGAGGTTATAAGGCACTATATCAAATGCAAGGATTATTATTATTATAGAAGCAAGAATCAAATGAAGCATTAAAGGGCTATTGTTATAGGTTATTCGGTTATTAGGTTATTAGCTGGAGTGAGATTAGAAGATCAGCTATGATTGAATGGTGGGGCAGCCTCGAAGGGCCGAATGGCCTACTCCTGCTCCTACATGTTATGTTAAATAAAAGCTGGTCAGGTTTAGTAACATATTTTGGTTACTTAGTTTCAGGTTTACTAATAATTTCATCTGATAATTTCCGAATTATTCCTTAGCACTTACTCACCGGAATGATCTGTCCGCGCGCACCAACTGGCTCGTGTCGTGTGTACCAGAAGAAGTCGCCATCTACAGGGATGGTCTTTCCATGGTACTTGTCAGCCCAGTCAGCGTAGTAGCCGTTACACAATGCGGTAGTGGTTAAAAATAATAATCCTTCATTTGGTACAATATGTTTCACATTATCCTCTGTATGGCAAACTGCAGAAGGCAGTAGCAGAGGGAGCAGATAGGACGTTATCCTTGACAACCCTCTCTCTGAACCATATTGGAGTGTCAGCCTAGCCAACGCAAAATCTGGGTGGGGACTTGAACCCACAACCTTCCAGCTCAGCGGCAACAGAAAGCTACCAAGTGAACCAATCTGACACCTTGTATTTAACCATGTAAATGAGTTAAAATGATTACTCTACCCAGTCAGACAGAAGCAAACCATTTCTGTTAGGTAGATACATACGGGCTTCTGCATCCCTCCATTCCACAGCTTTGTGGTTCGATAAATGCCACATTTATCACAAATACTAAGATGTGTGAGAATTGTCAATGTGTGTGTGTTAAAAGTGACCCACAATTATGTTACAGCTTAGACTATATTACCTCAATCTTAATTGAAAATGTGTCAAACCCACACCCCTCATTCAGTCATTGCCATAAAAAAGCATTTTTGAATATTTTTTCCTTTGATATCAGGTTAATTTACAAACAACGCAAAGGAGGATTTCCTGATGTGCCAATGACCGTTCAACCTATTCACTAAATAATGGAGCCATCGGCGGCCGTGCCTTCAGCCACTGCCACCCAAAACTTTGGAACTCCCTCCCTCAACCCCTTTGCCTCGCACCCCCCCTCCTTCCCCATCTTCAGGTTGTGCCTAAAGACCTTCTTCGACCGCGCCTACGGTCAACTTCTCCCTCCCCTAGCTCGGCCCCGGGCTCCGCCATTGTCAAGCGTTCTGAGGTGCCACCCAGCGTGGATGGCGCTATATAAATGCAAATTGTTGTTGTTGTTGTTGGAGCCCAGCATCTGCGAGCATAAGCTTATCTTAGAAAGGGCTCCTTGCTTCTAACAAGGGAACAAACTGGGGAAAGGGAGAGATAACGTCCTAGAATTATAGACTATCTGTAACATTTAATAACCGGAATGAGATCCACGTTGTAGGTCATGTGATAAGTTTCCCACTGTCTAAGGTCTCCAGCGACTGAAATAAATTGAGAAGTAATTATTGGAAAAGTGACATTACCCAATTCATCAGTCAGGATTTGTACTACAGTCAACGTTCCCCACCAGTTCCCAAGCCCCCACCTTCCCCATAATGATCACAAACCCAATAATATGATATGCCTCGAACATCTTATGGATCTCTGGTATGGCTACGTTAAACATACTCTGTATGTTGAGAGCAAACCGAGGGATAATATGACCAAAGTCACTGTGAAATAGTCCAGGAACTGATTACTTGAGTACTCAAGCAGCTCTAGAAAGTTACAGCAGAGAGTGTTTCAACAAAACTATTCCAACATCCTGCCGGCAAGCTGTTGTGATCAGAAATATATTAATGCTTAAAATGTTACTTCAGTTCAGTTAGGAATGCTCCTGTTTGTCAGCTAGTGTCAAGCTGAGCTGTGGAATGACATTCTTGATGCTAAATTGGTCGCGTAGGTTACTTAGGCTGGTTAGTCAGTATTGAAATGACTTGTAGAACTGGAAGCCTAATTAAATTGAGTTGAATCTTAGAATATATATCTAAGCATGACGTATATCATGGAGCAGGTGGTATAACTCCACACAAAATGTTATGGGACAATGTCAGTATGTTGTGCCTTCAAGAGTTAAAAGAAGTGTGTTTACCACAGCTGGAGTTCTCTTGTTAACGGTTGCCGTAACTGTCCTGCATTGTTTAATCAATGAGTCAGCCCATGGATACCCATACCCAAGATGGGTCCCAGCCTGTTTAAACATCTATGAGGTGGGTGAGAAAGTGCAGATTGGCACGGACTATCTTGGCGTTAAAAAAAACGATGATAAAAGAGCTATAAGCTAAGCTATACTTTGCTCAGTCGGAGTTGGTCAGACGTGGTGTGGTGTTCGGTGTGAGCTGGTGAGAGCGAGTAAGTCTTTTTCTTCCTTCGCACTGACCTCGGGGTTCTTGCATTGCAAGCAACATCGGAAGAAAGCAACAGAGAACAGACAGCTGCAACACATCTGCTGGAGATACAACTTTTTTTTTGATTCAATGCCTAGTTTCCCTGTTTTTCTTTTCTGGCCACACCTTTTGCCCCAAGCTTCAAGAGAGTGCTGAACTCCATTACAGACTGCATCTGCAACTCAACAACATGCTTTCACAGGTGACTTACTGCCAAATAGAGTTTATCACGCTCGATCAGGCCAGCCAAGCGGTTCAGGAGAACTCCTCGGTGCGACGCATCCATTGTTCTCCACGGAGATCCAAGTCGAAAGGTTTCTTTTGCTGCCTTTACGGCATCGTTCAAGTCGGCCTGAAGACCAATGAAATATGAAATAATAGTATAATACTAATTCTTGCATTTGGTATAGCGCCTTATCACGTCGGAAGGATGTTTCAAAGCGCTTCACAGGAGTGACTGGCTATTTGTGGGCAAATGCAGCAGCACAATTGTGCACTGCAATGTCCCACAAACGACCATGGAGTGAGTGACC